GCTCGATTTTTTCATAATGTTTTTTAGCTGGTATTGTACAGTCGTTAATTATATCCATACTTGGAATTTTTTCTTGCGTGTGTTATAGCACTTTCTATAGCGAAATAATCTATTTATATAAAATTGCGTTTTTTGCTGAAAAAGCAAGGAAATCAACTTTAAATTGCGTGATTAAACAAGAATCTTGAAGCTAAGCTGAAAACGTATGTCGGAAAAACTTCGATTTTCTTCTTAGAACCTGCTGTTGTAATTTCCATTAGAGGGGTGTGTTCGAGATACACGGACAATCAAACTTTACCTCGGTCGACACATATATTTATACGCATTGGCTCTTTTTGTTTCAACTGTCCGGTAAAAGGCACGCCGCGGCGGGGCGCGACAATTGTATCGCCACATGGCGCGATTCGAGGCCCTCGAAAGGGCAGATGGTGCGACTCGGAGGGTTCCCGCTGTTGTGACACCATTGTTTCTGTCCCGCGTGGCCGCTCGCGAGCTCATTGTATTAGATAAAGAATTACGATACATATTTCGAAAAAGCAGACGCGCGCGCGCGCGCGCACGCACTATATTCCAAGGTGTGTGTCAAATCGTGGGAATCGGATGCGCGCCTAGGGCGCCCTTCTCTCCCTCGTTTACCTAACGGATCGGGGTCTTTTGGAATCCTAACGGCGAGATCCTTGGGCTCGCGTAAGAAAGTTACAAAGCTGTATATAGGAAGGTCTTTATTTCGACCCTCGGTCCCGGAGACCCGAGACTAAAACTTCTATTGGATACACATATCGATGAGATAGAATCCGCGTTGCAACGTTACTCGGTATTTTTTTCGCAACGCGTGACGTCTGTCGAACGTAATTGAACGTTCGATCTCTCTCTCGAGGTCGCATCTCGAATTGAATGTTTTGTATTTTTCGAAGCTGCGTCCAGTGTATTTCGGATGTGCGATACGGAGGTACACACAATCCGCGCGTGGAATCGGCCGGTCCGGTTCGGACCGTCGTCGTTGGGCCGTACCAACATGATTTGGGAATTCGCGAGTTTTCATCCGGCTTCCTCCGTCGCGCATCACCCTGCCTCACGGCATTTCACCTCCCGTATACCACATTTTCTTCGGCCCTTCTCGTTCCGTCCCGCTAGAAATACGCTAATTTCAATATTTTCGTACGTTTCCATACGTACGTACGTACGTTCGTTCGTTCGTTCGTTCGTTCGTTCGTTAGGTTGCCAATGCTGGGCCCTGGGAATGCGCGATGGCTTTGTCTCTCCTCGTCTTTCTCGCGCCGCCAGCTCTCTCGCCTCTCTCGCGCCCGCGTACCCCCGACTCCCCTCCGCTTCTCCCGCTCCCGCTTCCTTTCCCCCCTAACCTCAACAACGCCGCTGCCTCTCCATTGCCTCTGTCTCTCCCTCGATCACCCCGTCTCTCTCGCTCGCGCGTCTTATTGACCCGGACCCGGTTCTCTTCTCCTCTCTCTTCGATTCGCGCCGGGTTACCCGCACCGACTCACCCGCCGCCTCACGACGGCAAGGGTTGCCAGGGGGAGGGGTGGAGAGAGGGGGGAGGGCGGTGGAGGAGGTAATGCGGGGTGGCGGGAGAGACGGGAGGACAGGTCCGACGCACAGGTCCCGCGATATACATTTTCATTTCATCTTCTTGGCGCGCTATCGGAGACGGAGAAAAGTAGAGGGAAAGGAAAAAAAAGGGAAAAGAACAGCGCGCGCACGCTTCGAAGAAGTGGTCAGGAAAAAATTTCGGCCATTCCCCCGAGAGCGCCGTTGATCAGGTCAGGGCTTCTCTATCCGGTTCGCGCGAATTCCGATTCGCGACTTGGCTTCGCGAGGAGAAAAAAAAGGGTACGCGACGCGCAAGGGGTTCGTTGCGGGAGCAGCGCGAGCGTCACATTCCTGCGGTTGTGTATATCGATAAAGAGATAATAAGGGGGTTATATCCGAGGGGAGAGATACAAAGCTAGCGTCCGCGAACGAGTAACGTGGCGGCGAATTTATAAAATTCGCGTCAGTCATGCCTCCTGAGTTTACAATGCGTCGTTACGTCCTCCAAAAATTACGAAGTATTTTCGACGAAGGAATTCTATTCTAATCGATACTGCGAACGTATTGTTTAATGCGATGATGAAATGTAATTGCGTCAGCGAAATTATTACAATTTCGTGCGCTTATCGCAAAAGTATTTCTTTCAAGATGGCGCGTAATGATGCTTGCTGTATATACGTATGTGTGTGTATGTGTGTGTGTGTGTGTGTGCGCGCCGTAAATCCGGCCTGCGAACCGTTTGCGCGTGAATCGGGCCTCGCGTGGTCGATCCTCGGGGCACATTCCATTCGCAGAATGTGAAATTTCATCGCTCTCCTGAAGGTTCTTCCGTATCGACCGACGAAGAGAGCGGCCCGTCGTCGCCGGTCGGTAAAGATAGAGCGGGCGCTCGTCCTCGTCTTCGTCCTCGCGCGTACGTGCGTTACGAGCGGGAAAAAGGGCGTAAAGCCGACGAGCGCGAAAAGCAGGAAGCATCGTCCGGGAGCGATGTGGGGCAAATTCCAGCGAGCTAGCGAGAGCGTAGCGGTGTAGCGAACTAAGGAGAAAAAAAAGGAGAGATAGAGAGGTAGACAGAGAGGGAGAGGTAAGAGAAGAAGAAAGAACACGCAATGATGACGACGAGGAGTCAGCCAGTCGGTCGCGGATAGATGCGTCTCTTTCTTTTTTTTTCCTCCTCTTTCCGCGTGCTTCTCTTTCTCTGCCTAAAAGTTGACCTCGAGTTTCAAGGGTAGAGAAGGGTTCGCAGTCGTTTCTGCGCCTCGCTCGCCCGCTTCCCCCGCCCCTCGTATCTTACCGGGGGGGACTGTACGCGGCGAGTCGCGCGCGCGGGGCTCTCTCGAATTCTCTACGAACGGAGAGAGAACGGAAGAGGAGAAAGCGACGTTGCCTGTAGCGCGACGGCGGTAGACTCCCGCCATCCCCACCGGCGTTATAACGCCGTTCGATTGGCCGGCGCGCTTAGGTTCTCCTTTGTGAGCGGGCGGGTGAAAGCGTGCTTGGCAACGTCGCGAGAGTTTGCCGGCGTCCGCTGGAAGGAAGGCTGAACTGGCACGAGTGCGAGAGAGAGAGAGAGAGAGAGAGAGCGAGCGCGGACGAGAAAGAAGGAGAGAGAGAGAGAAAGAGAAAGAAGGACAGAGCGGGCGAACGAGACACCCGGCAGAGGGGCGTAGGGAGGACAGCGTGGAGAGACAGAGAAGGAGAGAGAGAAAGAAAGACAGGCAGATAGATGGGGAAAGAGAGGAAGAGAGAGATCGTACGAGCGCGTCCAGGCGGTCTGTTCTCGCCAGGTTCGCCCTCTGTGTGTGCGACGTCGCGTGTAGTGAGTCGGTAGAGGCGAGAGAGAAGCGAGTCTCGCGCGCGCGTACGCTTCTCCAATGTGAAAAAGCTATTGCTATACTACTACCATTACAGAGAGCCGCTGTTACGACTAATACACCACTACTCTATCGCTACCATCGTCATCGCGTCAGCGGCGTGCTCGTCGGGACGTACCGGCGTCGCTTCGCCTCGCTCCGCGTCGCGTCGCGTCGCGTCGCGCCAAACTGAACTGAACCAAACCAAACCAAATCCAAGCCGAGTCGAGCGGAGCCGGAGCCACCGTGTGCGTGTTTATAACGCCGCGGAGCATCGGAGTACCGGCGTCCCGCGGACGCGCGTGACGCGTCCCCCCGCGTCGCAAAGCGTCCGTCATCGGAAAACGCTGTTGCTGCTGCTGCTGTTCCCCGACATTGTATCAAGGACGCGGTACACCCGTATCCTTGCGTCGGCGCCGCCGCCACCGCCGCCGTTGGAAGAAGGAACCACCGCGTCGAGCAAGCGAGTTTCGCCGCGGGACGGTGTAGAGGGAGAGAAAGAGAAAGAGAGAGAGAACGAGACGGACGGTTGGGCTAGACGGAGACAGAGAGACGGAGAAAAAGACAGAGAGAGGGAGGAAGAGAGAGAAAAAGAAGGCGTGAGAGAAAGAGAGACGGAGCGAGCGTGAGCGTTCGACGTCGTTGCTCCTCGTCGTCGATGGTGGGGAGGCAGAGGGAAAAAGAAAGAGCTAGAGGGGGAGAGAGAGAGCGCCCTCCCCTACCCACCCGCCCGCTCGCCTCCTCTGCCCGCCGCCGTACCTACTCACGGAGCTAACGAACGGTCGAGCGTAGCGTCGAGTAGACCGCATCCCAAGTATAACGTACGTACGTATATTCACGGGGAACTGAAGCTAAGCGCGCCGCGGCGTGTTCTACGCGCTGGTTACGCGCGTGAAGAAAAAAAAAGGAAAAGAAAAGGAAACGTCGCGTTCCGCCTGCGATTGCCGTTCGCGATGCGAGTAAGCGAGTACGGGCAAGCACGAGCGTTATAGTGATCGGGTGTTCCTCTCGTAGCGGTTTAACCGTCACCGTCGGCCGCAATTGAACGCGGACAGTGTTGTGACAGTGAGAACGCGTTTGAAACGCGTGCGTGTGGTGCGTGTCTTTCCTCTCCTGTCCGACATCTAAGCGTTCATAGCAGCGAGTTCCCAAGTGTGCGAATGTGAGACGGATTCCGTGTACGTGCGCGAGCGTGTGAGAGAGAGAGAGAGAAAGAAAGAGAGCGTGCGAGAGAGAGAGAGGGAGAGAGAAGGAGTAATATAGTTTGCTGTCTGTGTGCACTGTGCGTGCACGCGGGATGTTACCGAGTTATATGAGCGTGCGAGCGCGCGCGTGTGCGTGTGAGTACTAGGGAGAGAGAGAGAGAGCGCGAGAGAGAAAGAAAGAGAGGGAGGAAGAGAGAAAGACTTGTAGCGAGATAGAAAGAAAGACGGACAGGAATAGAGAGAGGGAGAGGGAAAGAGAAAGGGAACGCTAGCGCGTGCATGTGTACGTGCGCGCTCGCGTGCGAGCAATTCCTCCGTGAATTTTTCTTTTCCCTCGCTGGTGTTGTGTCACCGGCGGGTAAAACGAGAGGCTGAGGACGCTGACGGACGTACGGACGTACGTCACGATATGTCGGAGCACCACCGCGTGGCCGGTGGCTGGGGCACCGCGAGCCCGGGTAACCGAGAGGATGCTTCCGGCGGTGCCGCCTGGTGGCCCTCCGGCCTGAACACCGATCAACAGCAGCAACAACAGCAACAGCAACAACAGACTCTGCACCAGCATCTGATGAACCATCAACAGCAACAACAGCAGCAGCAGCAGCAGCAGCAGCAACAACAGCTCGCACAACAGCAGCAGTCGCAGCACCACCAGGACAACGTCCGAAGTACTGCCGCCGCGGCGAACCAACAGCTCTTCTCCTACAAAATGGCCTCCAGCTTCCAGAACCCGGCCACCACCGGCGCGGCATCGAGTCCAGTGTCGACATCCACGCCGGTCGGCGGCGGCGCCGCGTGCATGAGGGGTGGATACGATTACAGGCTCGGTGCGGCGCCGGGTCCTGGACAAGGCGCCGGCGGCGGCGGCGGCGGCGGTGGCGGCGGCGGCGGCGGCGGCGGAGGCGGTGCGGGTGCCGGTGGCGGCGGCGCCGCCGGCGTACCCGGCACACCTTCCGCACCGCCGCCCGGCGTACAGTGGTGGTATCCAGGCGGAGTCATGGACGCCGCCGCGCAGAACAACCTGCACCAGCAGTTGCAGGGCCAGCAGCAACAACAGCAGCAGCAGCAGCAACACCTCTCGCCCATTACCACGCAAACGTCCACGCCCCCCGTTATGTCCCCGGTATGTTGCGAAGTACGAGTACGGTACGCGAGTAACCATATCCTCGAGAAGAAAGAAAAAGTGTATATCCCTTTCCGCGCGCGCGAACGGTTTCTTTTCCCGCGTTCTTGGCAAGCGGCGCCGTAGTCTTCTCTTTTTTTTTCTTTTCTTTTACGCCTCTGCGCTTCTTTTAGACATTTCACAAATGCTTTTGCGTTACCGGATGTTCGCTTTTCGGTCACGAATATATATATATTTATATATATGAATATATTCGTATTGAGACTCGAGGTGACGAACATATAGACAATAGAAAAAACTCAACTCAGTAACTGTCAGTCGATACTCGAGTTCCCCATTTGTTTTGTAAAATTGAGAATCAATTAAAAATTGTCATGCGTGATATAAGTTTGTACAAGGGAAAAAAAAGAAGATAATCGTGCGCAAATTGAATTTTTGTTGAACAGCCACGATCTGAGAAACGGCCATCCGGTAACGGGTTGGCGTTTATGCGACGCCTTTGTACCACGTTGTAGTAGTAGATACGTAGGCCGAAACGCGACGACCTCGCTCCTCACCCCCTGTCCCCCCTCGTTCCCTCTGCTCGCCAGTCTTTCGGCCACTTTCGCGCGCTCGGCGAGCGAACGAGCGAGCGAGCGAGCGGGTGGCTATAATACGAAGACAGAGATATAGCCGGTTCGACCAGGTGGCCACGCGGCTACTTTTGACAACTTTTCCGAACGCCTCCGACGAGATACGCGGCAGTTCGTTTTAACGACGTCTTCTTAAACCTCAGATTCCTTTACCGTGGGTTCCGATTCTGTATAACTCTTTAATCTTAATTCTAAAATTATAAAATAATTTATCTGGGAAACGCACACACGCTTGAGACGCGAGAAACACACCAGAGAAATTCCCACGTATGATCTCGCATTCGCTGCACACAAGTTGTTGGTTTTTTTTTTGCACAGCGTATTCTAAAATAAAGCGAATGGATTTCTTTCTCCGTCTCTCTCCCTGTTCGTCTTTCTCTCTGCCAATGCTAGAGAGCTCTGTTTGATTTTCGTCCGTTGTTCTTCTATCTCGCTAGTGTTCGATAAATCGTTAGTTTTTCACAATTATCGGAAAGTGCGGCTCGAGCATGCCGCTTTTCATCTGAGCGTCAACGAATCCTGGCAAGGTGATTAGTCCTTTCGTGAAGTGTTGTTAACGATTTCAGCGAAATACACTCGCTTCACGCGTGATCCAACTCATTGTTCCTACATACATTATCCGTATTTCTTTCGATATTAGATATATTTATATCTTATTTGTCTAAATTATCTAAAAATATCAAGTCGTGATAGGTTTTGTGATGAACTCGCCTCATTGCTTGCATCTCGAAGATATGTTAAGGAATTAAGATTGCTGGCGGCGATAGGCCCAGGTATCAGGAGAAAAGTTAGGTATATTGGGATCCCTTCGGTTGTGCTTGGAATAGGCTTTGATAGGCAACGACGAGGCGATCCGGGAACGTGATTGCGATAATTGCGATAAAAGGTATATGCATGGTGTATGTATCCTTCGTATTCTTCGGTGTCGTCTCTCGCGTATGCACATAAAGGCAACTTGCGAGGAAACACGGCGTATTCTCGTGGAAATTTCGCTTATCATCTCTTGCGTTAGTAGTTTCGCAGTAAAAAGAGGGGAACATTATTGGACAGAGGTATATAATTTGTTTCGCGCGGTATTGATCGATTTTCACCGATCGTCGACAGCGATAATCTCGGTAACTAAATTTTTTACCAGTATTCGTAGGTATAGACGGAGGAGGGAAGAATTTATGAAATACGGAGAAAGGAAACGTAATTTTTCGAACCGCAAATGCGCGTAACGATGAGTTTAACAAAAAGAATTTTTGTACAGTTTTATCTTATATATACAGAGTGTTTCTCGATTAACTGCATTCCTCTAATTTTACGAATTCTTAGAACAATTTCAAGCTCTGATTTTTTCCGATGCAACTTCCACAACCTTTCTTACACAAAATAAATGCCGAAGGTTCAATTAAAGTTTCCCGAAATATTCGCTCGTTTCAATGCTTTCGAAAACGGTCGGACTAATTGATCTCTTTTGTCTGCCTCGACAAGATTCGCGTTTGCGTGCGGATCTGGACGGAAGTGATGGATAGACGGAAACCTTGAGATTCCAGTCCGGTTATCTCGCGCGAACCAAAAAAAATTCTCGATGTTTCTTGTAAAGCAAAATTCTGTCGGATATCGAGTTACGTGCGAGAGAGAAAGAGAGATTCGAGTGATTCCTCGCCTCGTAAATTCAAGTACACATATACGCAGTTGAGAAGCCAAAGAGTCCCCGATTGTCATTGTATCCCAATGTCCAGTTGATCGGATTTTCGCGCGTTTCATCGTTCTCGCGTTCTCGTCCCGACTCGCGCGCGCGGTTCTCTCACCCCGTCGCGTCCGTCCGTCCGTCCGCCCGTTTGTCCGTCCGTCCATCCGTACGTACGTACATCCGCCGTCCGCTATTGATTCCGGGTTTCGCGCGGCCTTCTTCATAAGTGCGTTCGCGTTCAGCAAGTCCGGCCGCGCTTGCCGGTTTGATATCATCCCGTTCTTTCTCGTTTCTCGTTTTCGCGATTTCATTGGCGCCAAGTGTCAAGAGATCTGTTCTTTTTAACTGCCCTGTCTCCCCCCGCTCCCCCCTTTTTTTTTGCTCTCCAAGCAAAATAACCACGCATTCGGGCGTCGTGTGTGGCGAGAAAGAGGGGAGAGGAAGGTCGCGAGGAAGAACGTAGATACTGCGGCTGACCGGAACAGACCTAAAAATTTGTCAGATATATTAAGGGAACGAGAAATACTCCTTCCCCTCCCCCTCCTCCCCTCAATTTAGGGTTCACAGACACTCGCTCTCTTTCGTTTTAGGATCGTTTAGTTTACATTGATCGAGACTGCTCGGATTTGAAATTTAGATTTCGAGGATATCGGAAAGATATACATATATACGCATACATTTACATGAGAAAGTACATATAGCAAGTGTTGGAAACAAAATGAGTTTTCTATAATGTGAGAAAAATAATAACTTTATCGTTTTAAAATGATAATAGACTTCAACTGAGGATAGTTTTTTTTTTCTCTTCGTAAAATATCCATTTATATGCTATATTAACTTCTTATCACGATTACGTCGTCACGAATTCCAGTTACATTATGAAATTGTCTTTTCTTTCCTAGATCAGATCCTTCTCCTGAATTCGATAGGAATCTGAGATCACCTAACCGTTTTCTTCTTCACGATCTCTCGAACTTGGCCTTTGATATTGACAGTGATACTGAAGTCGCGCAATTTTTTTTTTCTCACCGTGAATAGATAATCGAAGCTTGTAATAGTGCGACGAAAGCGGAATCCTGTTTCGGAATACATGCTAGACTACATATGAAAGTTCACGTATGAAAGTCCGTGATGAATGATCGGAACGATTACGCACTTTCGAAATAATAATGCTCGAGAGGAGTAACACAATTTACGATATCTCAGCCGAGACCTCTGAAAATGTTTTCGTTAAAAGTTCCATGAAATATTAAAGAAAAAAAGTATTTCAAATAGAAGGTAATAAATAGAGCCGAATTTCGATTTTTACAAAAAAGTTACATCAAGTTATGAATGAGACAACTCATCCCGAATCTATATAGAATTAAGATATTTAATATTCACATAAAATATTTATTACATTTTTGATAGGAATGAAGAATCGATCATTTTTCACATTTATGGCTTAAAATATATATATCGAATGCAGGATCTTTTTTTCTTTTTAGAAATATAGGCTGTTCGACTTTGTGCAACGTGCCGACAAACGTGTTTCACTTGTTTCTCATTCACTCGGCCCGGTTTCTCACGCGCGCGATGTATATTTTTCTTAAAACGATTTCTAAACTTTATCCCCGCCCACAATTGTGCGGCACCGAGCTGTTACTGAAATTTCAACGGCCGGAGCTTCGGCACAATTTACGCTTTAATTAACAGGCACGCAATAATGATCCTCGAGTATACATATCGTAGAGTTTAGTGTACGAGGACTCTCTTGTAAAAAGAGTAATGGCTTGTGTCTATTTGAGAGAAAGAGAGAGAGAGAGAGAGATACTGTCGAGAGTCACTCTCAAGAGTCATACAAATGGACACGGTACATTGAAAAGTATACCGCAGAGTTACTTTCTTACTTACACTTTTACTCTTTTACTCTTAACGTCCGAGAGTCACTCACGGGATAGATCTCAAGATAATACTTTGTGGGGTATGATCTTCGTTTTGCGTCTTGACAGTATCCTTCTCAAATGGACACGGCAGTCATAATTTTCCACGAGGTAGACAAACACATGTGCTAATATTTGATCCTGGTCGTCTCGAATCTAAATTGTTAGCTTACTTTTAATCTCTCAATAATTCGTAACTTATTTATTTAAAAATATTCAAATTTATAGTATAAAGTAAATCAATAAAAATTAAAACACTTAAATATTTCTCTCAAGTTAGAAAATGCTGTGGAAAAATGCATAGAACACTTTCGACTTATTCTATTCAAAATAGTCTAAAATATTCCTAACGTTATGCAAACTCGTTAAATTTACGACTGAGGGAACGTAGCGTTTTCCAATTTCTCGCTATTATTTTCGCAGATTAATAAAAATCCGCGCGCAGAGCGTTCACATGACATAAAGCTTTTTGTGTATGAAAGAACACCTGTCGAACGAACGAGACCGCAATTGCGGTCGCAAGCTCGAAGCTTTCTCGTCGGTTATTTTTTTTGTTTTGTTTTGTTTTATCGTTGTTCGTAGAATATACCTCGTCGCAAACATCTGACTTCCGTTTCCGTGCCCAACGTTAATTTTATTTCCACTGTTGCCCGAGACCGTAGGAAACCATACGCTGTAATGCAACGCCTGCGGCCCAAGGGGCATAAATTTTTAATCCCTTGCATATCGCGGCGAGTGCGAGAAGGAAAGCGAGAGGGGAAAAAATATAACGCGGGAATCGTTTCGTTGCGGGATGCACGCTTGAAAGTCGTTTCTCGGCTCTTTTTTTTTTCACTCTCTCAGACATTCCAATGCGTATAGGTAAAAAATAGCTCCTAAGAACGCTTGCCATCAGAATTGGATATTAATTAATTAACCAAAGTCAGTCGTAATTAATTAATTAACTAATTAATTAATTAAGTCAGGCATATTTTATGTAATGCGATATATTGAACCGCCCCATAAATAATGCGAGTTTCCGGATCGCGCGCGGAGGCAGGTCCGCAAAAGTGGCGGCCGGCCGGCCGTTGTTTATGTCGCACACGTCGTCTGAAAGTGATCGCGTATAAGGAAAACCCGCATTACTTATGGAGCGACTCAATGACAATGTCGATTCTACATAGTAGTTATTTTGCCGGCAGATCTCACATCCGCACGTAGGTCAACTAGATTTCCGATTATTTCTGCAGGTACGTGGTAACTATTATTATCCGGAGTAATAACGGTCGGTATATTGTACGTATAGTACGCGGGTATAATTGTGCTATATCACGTCTTATACACACGTTTCAAAGGGCCCGGAGCAAAAGGGTTATATACTACCCCGTCCCCTCCGAATCGGGGTATGTCGCAGCATTTTGACGTGTATAGCATGAATTATATACAAACTGGTGCGTGCTTTAAATCGTGTCTAAAACATAAAGTCCGGTGTGTCTAAAAATGAATTTTTTTTTTGTTTTGTTTACACACATATCTAGACGCTTTTCGTCTGCTTTCAATTCTGCTATCAATCGCGTCGTCAACGACGACGTTTGGAAGAGAGAATTCAGTTTTTCATTTCCTTTCATTCGTATAATAATGAAGATACGCGTGGCGTGCATACACGTGTACGTGTGTGTTTCGGTATATTTTATTTAAATCTACGCGAATTTATATATGTAAAGTTCAGCCGTGTGATTCACCGCAGTGATGAGACTTGCGGGAGATACACTACAGTTGAAGCGGTAATAAAATATAACGCGATCCGATGATATAATTATAATAATATAATGCCAATCTATATACCTCGTATTATTATTATTGTTATTATTATTACACGGCATTATGTGTAATAACAACGACGTTAATAATTATGTACATAATGATAATACACTGTATAATATTACACGTACGTACAATGTAATGACCATTGTTACTTGACAAAATCAAAAACGCGCGTTTGTACGGCGAGCATTGTTACGTGTGTCTCATTGTCAATGTGAGATCGCGGGCCGCAGCCGTTCATTAATTTAACACGCAAGTCGTATTACGTAAAGTGCGTAACGACACGTCTCAGTTGTCGCGGATAACTTGCTAAATTTGCTCGCAGCAATGTCCCAAGTGGACCAAGCTTTCGCATCACGATAAAGAAAAAGAAAGAATCTCCATTTTTTTTTCGCTCCTCGCGAGCTAGTGACACGTGAGGGAATTCTTTCCCCTCTCTTATTCTTTTATTTCTTATAATATACGACGATACGACGCAAGATTACTTTGCGCATTAACGAATTTTTCTCGATTTAAAAATAGAAAATCTCTATTTTACGATTTGAATTTTCACTCCAAGGAGTGAAGATAGATAACTTCTATTTTTAAATTTGTGAATTTCTTACGATGCGAAAGTAGTATTTTCTATTTTAGCATTTAGGAGCTTCTTTCTCAATGAATCAAAACTGGAAGATTTCTATTTTGAGAATTTTTAGAGACTTTTCTTTTGTTTTCATGTTTTTCGAAATAGAGAAGCATTTCCGTCTCAGAAATGTTCTTTGACGTAAGAGTAGAAGTTATTGCCGTTGTCGTGAGACTTGCTGTTTTTAAAAGGCGTTAACACTTTGCTATTCACCGCGGCAGCGTTTTTACATTGTAGACCGTTTGCTTGGATTTCAGCACCCGATACAGCAGATACCGCAAAATAATCTTCAACAAAATAACGCTCAGAGTCTGCAGCGGGACAATATGCCGAGAGGAGGAAAAGATTCGAAGCCAAGAGGACGGATGACAGCGTACGCGTTCTTCGTCCAGACATGTCGTCAGGAGCATAAAAAGAAGCATCCCGAGGAGAAGATCGTCTTTCGGGAATTCTCCAAAAAGTGTGCAATGAGGTGGAAGGTGAGAGATTCCTTTGGACTCAAACTGCTCGCGCTATGGCCCATTATTACAAATCATTTTTATAGATACTTGTAACATTGCATATTTAGAGAGACGTAGAAATCATTTTGATATTTTCGTTATACATGCAAAAATAAATTTGAGATAGAATTAACAGATCCCCCTTGCTAACGTTAAGATTCTAAAGAAATGTAAGAATTAACGAAGAAGACGATATTTCATTGGACCTTCCTTCCGCAAGTCAGTTATACAGTCCGTGAATGCGAACGAGAGCGGAATGCGTATAATGTTGTTCTGTCAAAAATTCTTGCGGATTCGCGTGAGATCTTCTTTGATCTTGGCCTCTGAATTAATATGTAGCGCACGATAAGCGCCACGCGCAAGTACCGTATTTAGGCGCGTCGTTACGGACCGACACGTCCCGCCTCGTTAAACCGTCAATCTTCATCTCGTCCAGCGGAATCAGGATTATCAGTAAGGAAAACGGAGCCGATACATGCGAAAACCTTCCGCGTCGTGATGTCGTCTTCAGAGAACGAGTATTTTAAAGTATTCATTATCCTACACGTGCACGCGACTGTGTATACGGCAGAGTATGCCGGACCGGCCGGCCGGGAGACACACTTATTTTCTCACAGTAATTGGAACATTTTATCGCACGTGGCTCGATCTCTGTAAGATCAATCGTATAGAAGCGCTAACGCTACATGCACGAAATATCGTATGTGTCGTAGACTATGTCGGACATTGAGAAGAAGCGTTTCCATGAAATGGCAGAGAAAGATAAGAAGAGATACGACACGGAGATGCAGAATTATACGCCGCCTAAGGGAGAAAATAAGGGTAGGGGCAAGAAGCGCAAACACATCAAGGATCACAATGCTCCCAAGAGATCGCTGTAAGCCCTTACATTGTTATATAATGTATCTCGAGCTTGAGAAAAATTTGTTGATTAGTATTTAAATATGCAGCGAGTAAAATTGATTTGAAAATTCGAAACTGAAAACAAATTTAATCGAATTTCAGAGATATTTATGAAATCTCGATTTTCTGCAACCTTATTTTTTTTTTTCAAAATAAAGTTACAATTATTTTTGTGAAAATTAAATTACATAAATTTTTTAAAATTAAATTTTGCATTTAGATTATTTCTAAATTATACATTTTGATTTTCTTGAATTTCCACAAAAAGGCTAGCTTTAGCATATTATTGTTGTGAACCGCTTTCAATAGTGGCAGTCAAATTTCATGATTTATTTTCATCAGGTCCGCTTTCTTCTGGTTCTGTAATGATGAACGCGGTAAGGTCAAAATGCTGAATCCTGAATATGGCGTAGGTGATATAGCTAAGGAATTAGGCAAGAAATGGTCGGACGCAGATCCCGAAACCAAATCCAAATACGAGGCTATGGCAGAGAAGGACAAGGCTCGATATGAAAGGGTAACGTGTCTAAATTTAGCACAACTTTACGCTTTTAACCATTAAGACTTCTAACTGGCCTCGTAACTGCAACTATATGCAACATCAAAAACTAAAAGTCATGAATTATCTTATATCAGAATATATATATTAATCTTTTTTTCTATACATCTCTCGTCTTCTCATCATCTTTGTTTATGAGTTTGAACAAATTTATAAGATGAATACTCAAACGCTTTTGAAGCAAAGATAAGACACCCTTTTTTCCCCTCGCAGGAAATGACCGCGTACAAAAAGAAAATGCAAAACGACGGTGCTCCGATGGTGGGAGGAGTGCAGGCGAACCAAACTGTAATAAAAAGCGACAGCGAAGAGGAGTGGAAGGAAGGAGACGACGAATAGCGGATGCACGTCGAAATTTCTTCATCTATCACCCCGTGTCCTTCATCCTGAAAGCATACCTCACCTACTGTACGTACCATTGACCTTAGCGTGAGCGTACTTACACCACCATTACTAGGAGAACAAAGCAACTAACCACCAAGCAACCTACCAATCAACCAAGCTCTTCAACAAATCCCCACCAATCTCTCCTAATTCTTTCCCCGATTATTTACGATAATGATAAAGTAATCCGCGCTAATTATGGTAATTATTTTAAAAGGAAAAACTGGTATGCGTGAGTGGTGCGCGAGCATGAGCGAGCGAGGATCATTGTGTGAGTGAACATTTGTACTTTAACATATTGATAGTAACGATCATGTAAAGCGGCTAGTAGGATAGCGGAAGATAATGAAAGAAAAAAAGAAATCAGAATCATGAGTAAAAAAGCAAAAGCGGAAGAGATAAGGCGGCGGCGCCAAAGTGCCCGATACTTTCTCTATCCGGATGGAAGGCGCAGGGGCTCAATCATTGTTGACTTTTTGCCCGTCGACGCTATATTACGAGCTATGTAGCTTAGTTTACTAATGACGAAACGCCGCGATAATGACGGCCCCGTTAGCGCGGGGATCGGAGATGTTAATTCCTTTTATCGTGTCCTTTCGGATTTTTTTTATCCGAAACATGCGGAGATCGTCCTCTTTATCTTTTTTTTCACGCAGCCATCAGCACGGGAGAGAGAGAGAGAGAGAGAGAGAAAGAAAGAGAGAGACCGCTCTCTCGGATCCTCGTTCTCGTGAGGGGCAAGTCATATCGCGTCGTTGCAAAATTATATAATATTACTTTTGGGGATCTATCTTTTTTTTTAAACTGAGTTCAATTCCAGTTCAGTTCAGTTCTGTTCACTTGTTGCCAGCATCGTTATGGCATGGATCACATATATATACACTTATACACAGACACGTAAAGACAATTGTTGTATATCCTTGTACAGAGAGCTTCATTTTTTTCTTTCGTATACTTTTAGCAAATCGATCATGTTGAGCGCGCGTGATGGGGCATGGGGCCGCTTTACGCATATTTGCGAATATATAATTGATTTTATCGAAGTACACACATGTCTCTTGTAGTAGCTGTAAGTACGTTTAGAATTAAGTATACGTGTATCTTAACGCAGACTTGAATTCTCCGGCGACTCTCTCTACGTCTTTTTTAGCGTAACAATGTAACTTTATTTCGACATTTACACGGCGGTGTTACAAGCCACGAGCCACCACGTGATTGAGCCTTAATTACGTAGCCGATAAACGATCGCTCCAATGCGACGAATCGAATTGGGAGAAACTGGTGTGCGAGAGAGAAAGAGAGAGTGCGTGTGTATGTAGCTCGAAGCTTCTCTATTAGATCGTTGCATATGAGATGTCATCTTTTTTAAAAAAGTGAACCTCTTAATTAATCAGATCATGTATGTATTTACAATTCTTTTACACGAGCATGTTACAGTACGATCATGATTTACCGTTTTTTCTAAGTTGTATTGAATACACAAAAAAAAATTGAAAAATTTAGCATATTTTCTATTTTAAAGATATTTCAATTGAACATTAATAATATGAACATTGTTAATGTGCTAATATTACCATTACTATTAATTCTATCATTATTTTTATCACTATAATTATATGATTTCTGAACAATGATTTTTTGATAAATTAAGAATTAATTATAAGGATAATTTAGAAATGGTTTATTGTATAGATGAAACACAAAATGAATCATGTGAAGAAAAATTAATAACTGTATACAAAATTTAACGTCCGGAATATAAAGCTGGAAATATACATATATATTTTTTTTATATCTTATTTTTAAGTTTCCTATATTTTTGAATTTATAATTATTTTTTTAAATGTTTTATTTTTTCAAGAATTAAGGAATATTGAATCAGGTTTTCTTCAATTATCCTATAATTTAACTTGTACTTTTCTCTGGAAATTAAAAATGCGTTGATGTACATGTAAAATCGACATTTCATGTGCAAGGACCTAATATTAAATCAAAATTAGTAGCACGATATCCTTAGCGTTTCGTGGAGCAGCGATATCGCCGCGCTAAGTCTTAATGCTTGTTTATCAAGAAACGACGACTGTTGTAACTCACAAAAACAAAATTCCATTTTTTATCGTAGACATTCGCGCTGTTTCGAGGCTGCCGGCGGCCTGCAGCCAACAAAAATTTCTCTTTGACAAATAGATCGTAACTTCACATCCGTTTTGATAAAAAAAAAACCATTCGTTTATTAACTTTGAATTCGACTTTGACAATACCAGCAACATTTTTTTTTTTTTCGTCGTTTTTCCCTTAAGACTACAATCGCAGGAGCGTTGAAATGAAGTAACGGACGAATATTAAACGTTCGTCCTGGCATAATACTGTAATCGATGCGCGACTCTCGTGCGATCGTAATCTTAATCGTGAAAGATAATGTTTTTGTACTTTTCTTTGTTTGACTCTTTCTCTCTTTCTCTCTCTGTTTTTTTCTCTTAGCCCAACACTGAAGTGGTCCCTGCCCCTTGCCATCGCCATTCTCCCTCTCACATTCGTTTTTAACTCACTGAAAAAAAAAAATAAAAAAAAGTAGTAAAAGGGTAAATACGTTCAAATCACTTGTCTCGAGACTCACATGAATGAATATATAATAACCGCCGTTTCCTTCGTTAAATCATATTCCCGGGAGCGATCGAATTTAATAGGAGATAAGCTCCCCCGCGAAGAAAAGGCGATTTTCTCTGTCTTGTACTGCCTCGAGTCATCATGGTGTACAGCAGGCTGTATTATAATAAATTATTGTGGTTTCTTGTAATATTAACATTCCTAGATCCTATAGCGTGTACAGTGATTTTAATCGCATTCGGGATTAGAGAAAAGGGGACCGAGAGAGGAGCCGAGTAACCAGTAAACAAGTAAAAGGAGAACGAACAGATGGAAAAGACGGGAAAAGAAAAACGGAAAATAGGATCTCACTAATTTCTTCTCTTCGTCGTTGAATGACGCGAGATGGGTATACATGTAAACGTATGGGGGGGAAAAAAATAGTGTTATATGTTTATATGTACACTCGTGTGTATCTATAATGAATTCTTAGAAGCTTTCTCATGATTGGGACTTGACACACACTTTGCACCTTCGTTACACATTATACATGTATGGCTCGCAGCGAATCGGCAAATTTATCGTCGCCTTTCTCAAAGACGTTTAAAAAAAATCTCTCTTTGTCTCTCTCCCGCCTTCCCCGTTCCCTTTCCCTACCCTCCCCCCAGAGCGCATTGTCTCGACGTAAAAACGAAGGAAAAAAAAAGGTAGCAAAAGATATGGATTCTAACAATTGATAAGAGCGCGAAACGTGCGGAAAAAGGAACCTGTTTTTCTAGAGGGAGTTAAGAGGACGCGGATAACAAACGACTGTAAAATATCAAATTGTAATATTTTAATACTGATTTGCAGATGTGCATAATTTTAACATATAGCTGGTTATAAAAAGAGAACAAAAAAAACGGTGAGCGGATTTGTAACTGATAACTGGAAATTGTGTGAGACGCGGTATATCCCGTTCGATGAAACGGTCGAACGAATGAAGGGGGGAAAAAAGAGGAAAATGAAGAAAAAAAAGAAGCGGAGATACTTCGAGAAAGGATCATGACATGAATTTCCTGTGTTATACTTGCTAGGGGAATTATGATAGTTACACGAGAAGAAAATGTTTGTTTTGTATATCTCTTAGGGATAAATAAACTTTTCAAAAAATACGATCTCCCTCTCGACGACGGCTCTTCTCCCTCCTGGCGTCGACGACTCCGTTTTCCGAAGATGCGCAATCAAACGGATTTGATCGGGGACGTTTTTTTTTTTTCGTTATATATTAATTTTCGATTTGTATCTTGTCAAAATTAAAAGTACATTCAAGAATTACGCAATCTCCAATGGGTATTCGGGATGGAGAGAAAATCTCGTAAATTTGCATCCGGAGATAAATCGGATAAAAATTAATTTCGTGCAACATATCGGCTTAAATTGAAATTGGACGATATGCATTGACAATCTTTCGAGTATTTCTCTCTTTGAGGATAAGCGGTTTCTAAAATCCATCGTGAATTGAAATATAAATTTTGTCATTGCAACATATATAAAATGTGGAATCAGATTGCGACATTCATATTTACATTCAACGCCGAAGAGATGTAAAGGAAAAAAACTGGCGGTCGAAATTTTTATTGTGAAAAAATCTGTTTACTGTCGAAATTGGAGAGATCTGCTGGATGACGTTCATACATGAAGAATTTTGTTTTCAGGCACATGCCGACATTTGGATAGCTCTATAAATTACACAAAATAGTACGATACAGCAATGCGCGATATAATTATAACTGTACGACTCGGCAATTTTTATTTATAGCTTTACACTGCACTCGAGCAGAATATCTTCTCTCGTCGAAGCGTCTTACTTTCGATAAACAGCAAAGTTATAATATAAGAAAATTAGCTATATATTTTACAATTCTCTATATAACGAAAGGACAGTGTATAGGCAAATGATTTCTCGACGTCATTGCAAGAAGTGTAAAGAAACTACGCTATAAAAAATATCTTGTATGTACAATTTGCGAGTGATGTCGTAATAAAGGTTATATATATACATACACATATATACATATATATTGTATATAATGTGTACGAAGGAGAAAATTCAATGAAAATAAATGCAATTGCAGCGTCTGCAACCTAATTTTCCTTGTATCCCCTAGCATTTTTCGTATTTGAAGCGAGACGGACACATGAGTCGTAGCATCCATAAGAGAAGGAGCGAGAGACGCGACTGACGCGAGTGCGGTGCGGGAAGTGCCGACAGCGCCGACGCGACAGTGGCACCTTCGTGCGGACGGACCTTTAGGAGAGACGCGGCTCGCGCCACCTGTCGGCGCGACGCCATACCGCTCGCTCGCAATCGAACGGATCACCGGGAGTCCGTTTCGCCGTTCTAGATATATACATCACCTTTTTGTTTGCGTACATAGGTACGCTCGTTTGACAGTTACAAGGGGCATGTACATTTGAAAATCAAACGCGACGGACTTAATGGCCGCGTGAGGGAGTCGCGTTTGGGTCGTCCGGCTTGCGCCTCAGCGTTTCAGCGCGCGTACGTTTCACGACGTCGCGCGTTTTCGACCGCTTCGTCCTGGTCCTCTCCACCCGTCGACTTCTTATGCCGTTATCCTGCCGCTAATCTAGGTAAGCGCGACGACGACGACGACGACGAGGGACTTGTTCGTCGGATCGCGGTGTCGAAACTCGGCTGTTTCGCCGTGCCGAATTCCTTTCTTGGTGATTTCGCCGAGTGACGACACGTGCCGACCGACAGGTATCCTGCAACCGTCGTTTCTTCGGCGAATAAATCAAACGCGTGAGAGTGTCGCGCGAATTGGATAGAGAGAGAACCGACTTTGCGTGTATGTTACGCTTGTCATCTAACTTTCAGCGCTTTGTTTGGGTAAGAATTCGCGAAGGAATCTTGTTGAATTTGTCACTCGTGAGATTTTTCATCGAAATCTGACTGACTCATTCAACGTTGTTTTTCTATATTTTTGTCGTGATTGTCAAATGTATGTCAAATTCACTTATTGCCAAAGTACATTTGTACGTTTATTTTGAACTGTCAAGTAGTTTGTTGATATAAGAGAGCATATGTAGGTATACCGATCTTCTGTTTGTTTGATGTCTGACTTTGATAAAGGGACACTCCAAATGAGTCATTCTTGCAGGATAATCAATCATGGAACAGGACACGGAGTATATGAAATTGCCTCTGGAAGAGCGCCTTTCGCACAAGGTATTAATGATTTATATTGACCACTTTTCATAGGGTAATGATCATGATTTTCGTCAAGATATCGCCGCATTGATCAACAAGTGACACAAGTAAAATATGTTAATTTTTTACTTGTGTCACTTTTCTATCAACACAGTGATATTTATAATATTTTTTTGCTGGACAGGTTGTATTTTTGTCAGTCACATTTAATGCAATATGTCAACTTGTGGTAATCTTGATTGAACAGTTTAATTTTTTTGTAAATGTATATACAGGATGTACCTGAAGTAAAGTAACTTGGGTAACAAATTTTGTGGGGCAAGCTTTCCATACTAAAACATGAAAAGAACTAAAAGAGGTTCATGCAAACATATGTTTGCAAACTCACTGTTACTGAGATATAGCTCAAAATGTTAAGTATTATGCTCGCTAACTACCATCGTTGGGAGTAAGGGGGGAGGGTGCACAGATCTTCCTTGTTTACCTATAAATATTAGTATTTGTTCTCATTCTTGTATTTTACATTGTGTATTGAAAAACAATTATTTTTTCAATTATTGCTCATAGTATTCAATCAAATGGGAGACATTTCAAACATATGTTATAATTAAAAATTGAAATAAATATTAAATAATAATAAATATTACGTTTTTATTTTTATTTTTTCTCAATTATAAACATTTTGAACTATATTTCAGTATATAATAGTGGATTTACAGACAAATGTTCATTTGAACTTTTTTTTATGTTTTGAGGAGCTCATCCCCAAAGTTTGTTAATTTATTTCAGATACACCTGCATAAATAAAAACAACTTTTTATTTTGGTATAATATACACATGCGTTAAACATAAAACTTACATTCAACTTGCGTATAGCATTTTACACATATGACTTAATATCTTTAGAGCTAAACATATTGGATTAAATAAATTATTAAGCTAAACGTATTGGATTAAATAAATAATATCTTATGATATTGCGCAGTCCTGGCGAGCACGTTTGCATGGGTACGAGGAGTGCGTGAAGACATTCCAGTGTATGGACGATGAGAAGTCACCGGAGTGGAACAAGTACTTGGGCCTCATCAAGAAGTTCGTGGGGGACAGTAATGCGGCCGCGCAGGAGAAGGGCCTGGAGGCGACCCTGGCTTACGTGGAGAACGCCGCGGTCGCCAGCAAGATAGTCGGTGAGGTGATGAACGGCATCGTGTCCAAGTGCATCGCCGCGCCTAAGGCCAAGACGAAGGAGGTGGCTGTGCAGATCACGCTGATGTACGTCGAGATCGAGAAACACGAGGCGGTGCAGGAGGAGCTGCTGAAGGGCACCGAGGCGAAGAATCCGAAAATTGTTTCGGCGTGCATCGCCACCTTGACGCTGGCGCTCAAGGAGTTTGGACCCAAGGTGATCAGTATGAAGCCGCTGATGAAGAAGATAGCGAACTTCCTGGAAGACAGGGACAAGATGGTGCGGGAGGAAGGCAAGGCTATGGTAGTGGAGATGTATCGATGGGTGGGCGATCGCCTGAAGCAACAGTTGAACACATTGAAGCCGGTGCACATCGCGGAGCTGGAGGCGGAGTTCAGTAATCTCGGCGATGAGAAAGTGGTGCCTACGCGCTATCTGCGCTCTCAGAAACCGAAGAATGTGGGCAACGGTGGCGAGCCAGTCGCGGCGAGCGATAATGGCGAGGACGACAACGAAGACGCGGACGGTGTCTCGATTCCGGACGTCGATCCGTACGAGTTATTAGCGCCTGTGGACATCCTGTCCAAAATGCCGAAGGATTTCTATGAGAAAATCGAGGCGAAGAAGTGGCAGGAGCGGAAGGAGGCGCTGGAGGCGCTCGAAACGCTCGTCAAGAATCCGAAACTGGAGAGCGGCGACTACGGTGACGTAGTGAGGGTCTTGAAGAAAATTATCTCGAAAGACACGAACGTGCTGGTGGTCACGCTGGCGGGAAAGTGTCTGGCCGGTCTGGCCGCGGGTCTGAAGAAAAGATTTCAATCCTATGCCTCCGCCTGTTTGCCCGCCATTCTGGAGAAGTTTCGCGAGAAGAAGCAGACAGTGGTACAGACATTGCGGGAGGCTGCCGATGCCATTTACCTGAGCGTAAGCATCGATCTCATCCTCGAGGACACTGTAGCCGCCTTGGAGAACAAAAATCCGGCGGTGAAGGCCGAGACGGCCGCATACCTGGCTCGATGTTTCGCGCACACGCCACCTGCGAATCTCAACAAGAAGCTGCTGAAATCTTACACCGGCGCGTTGCTGAAGACGCTCAACGAGTCGGATCCAACGGTACGCGACAATTCAGCGGAAGCGCTCGGCACCGCGATGAAGCTGATCGGCGAGAAGGCGATGATGCCGTTCCTGACGGATATCGACAATCTAAAAATGACGAAGATCAAAGAGTGCGCCGACAAGGCGGTGATACTCGTCAAAGTGACGAGCGGTACGAAGAAGCAGGAACGGCCCAACACCGCTCCGGCCAAGGTGGAGTCGCAGCGGGCGAACAAGGCGAGCAAGGAGAAGAGCGGCAAGTCGAGTACCGCGAAGAGACCCAACACCGGTATCGCGATGGGCAAGAAGTCAGCGTCGAAGAAACCCGGCGGTGCCTCGTCCCTCACGAATATGGCGCCGAAGAAAGCAGTTCAGATGGAGAAGAATTACAGTTCGGAGGAGATCGAGGAGATGGCGGCTGAGCTTTTGCCAGCCGAAATAATCGCCGGTCTCGTGGACAGCAATTGGAAAACGCGTCTGGCGGCGGTCACGCAATTGTCGGACACCGTCAAGGCAATGGATTCGGCGGAGGTGCCGACCCAGGTGATCGTACGGACCTTGGCGAGGAAGCCTGGCTTCAAGGACACAAATTTTCAAGTAAGGATAAAATTAAGATTAATATATAATATATTCGATTTACAATTTAGAATTGATTTTTAATATTTAGTTTAATATATTTTTTTTTTAACCGAAGAATATCTTTATAATGAAACATCTTAATTTCTATTTTTAGGTGCTGAAACTACGCGTAGAGATTGTGAAGTACCTGGCGGAAAATCATCCCTTCACAGCCACCGTGGCCGAGTACTGTCTCATGGACATCGCGGAAAAGTTGGCGGACGCGAAGAACAGTTCGATCGCTGTCGATACTCTGCTGGCGATCGCCCAGGCTACGAGCTTCGAATATATAGCAGACGAGATAATGGCATTTGCGTTTAATCAGAAGAATCCTAAGGTGCAGCAGGAGACACTGCTGTGGCTGTGCCGGGGACTCACGGAGTTCGGTTTGTGATGTTTTCATTTTCTGGCTGTAATACTTAATTTAGCAGCAGATAAAAAATATGTATACGCAAAATGCAATTGAGTTTATTAATTTATTCAAATCTCTTAGGTTACGATCTCAATGTCAAGTCTATCATGGAGAATATCAAGAAGGGAGTAGCCGCGACGAATCCTGGCGTGCGTACCGCCGCAATAACCTTGCTAGGTACTTTGTATCTTTACATGGGCAAACCGCTGCTGGCGTTCTTTGATAACGAGAAACCCGCGCTACGGCAGCAAATCGAGCAGGAGTGCGAGAAGCGCAGCGGCGAGACGCCACCGGTGCCCATTCGTGGCGCCAAGACCAAGAAGATCAACACTATTAACGCCGAGGATGAAGAAGAGGACATGGAGGAGAAAGCTGGGGGCAGCGAACCGGATCTCAATGAACTGGTTCCGCGAGTTGATATCAACTCCCAGATCACCGAAGCGCTGCTGGCCGAATTGGCCGATAAGAACTGGAAAGTGCGTAATGAAGCGTTGCAGAAGGTGAACACTCTACTCGGCGAGGTCAAGTTTATTAAACCGACCATCGGCGATCTGCCGCAGGGATTGGCCCAGCGTCTCGTCGACAGCAACAGCAAGATTGCACAAGCAACTCTAGGTCAGTAATTTACGATCGTGAAATTAACTGATCATAAACTGACCTTGTAATCTATAATTAATATCATTGGACTATTATAAAGTTTTTTTAAAATTAAATTCTCGATTTCAATTAAAATTTATAATTCAGAAAAAAACTATTAAATCTGATTTAATATTAGCAGATTACTCAATCGATGGTTCCTAAAATTTTATTATTTAACAACCGCAATCAATAATTAATCAACAGTTTTATTACACTTTGTTCAAATATGTTTCAGGTATCTGCGAGACATTGGCGACGGCTATTGGACCGCCGATGAAACAGCACGTTCGCACTCTGTTCCCTGGATTTTTGCATTGTCTGGGCGACAGCAAAAACTGGATCAGAACGGCTGCGATCTCCTGCATCAATACATGGGGAGATCAGTGCGGTTATAAAGAGTTCTTCGATGGCGAGATGATAGGCGACGCATTGAAGGCCGGCTCGCCGATGTTGCGATCCGAACTATGGAGCTGGCTGGCGCAGAAATTGCCCTCGATCCCGGTGAAACAGATTCCCAAGGAGGAGCTTTTCGTGTGCCTTCCCTACCTGTACGCTAATCTAGAGGATCGTAACTCGGACGTACGAAAAAACGCTCAGGAAGCTGTTCTCGGTTTCATGATTCATCTCTCTTACGAAGTGATGACCAGAAACACCGAAAAATTGAAGGTATTTATGCAAATTAAAAATGATGAATACGTTTCTAATATCTTTCGAACATAGTTGGTGTAATGTCCGAAAAATATCAGAAACATATTTGTATTATTCAAACAACTTTTCTTTTTCGTCCACTGCTGGACATGCTCTCTTAATCTATCTAGATTAGAAGATTTTAGCCATTTTCCCTATCACGCTGATCAGTGCCGATTGATAGGGGGATCAATTGATTTTGCTTAAGTAGTACGTGCACAGGGCAAATCACTCTCGGTGATTTACCGTTGCCTTTCTGAGAGATGGCGATCGAATAAAATTAAAATGTTTTTGTTTTGTTATCGATGTGGACGGATCTGAACCCGGATTCTCGGCATGGAAAGCAGACTCACAACTCTCTGTACCACGATCGCGACGTTTCTTATATATAGATTTTTTAATGACTCATTGCGATAATTAATAAATTTACTTGCCAGTTTAAGATAACAAAATAATACCACTTGTGACGATAATAAAGAGAATTGTAACTTTTGCAGCCGGGATCGCGGACAGTGGTAATAGCCGCACTGGACAAAGCTCGTCCTAGCTTACCTATAAAGCCTTTGCCTAAGAAGGAACCGTCAGACGACAATATCCAGAAGGGCGGCGCGAAGGGTGCGAAAGTAGTGAAAGCGATTAAATCGGTAACCAAGTCAAACATACACGATCTAACGAACATAATTAATCTGCGGATTAAGCAGATTAATGTTTTTTTCTCTTTTACGATGTATCGTTAATTATGTACATTGTTTCAGAAGGGCGCGTCATCGAAACCGAACAGTGCTCGCAAGAAAGATGACGACGTAGATACCAGTCCTCTGTTGGTGGTCAACAATCTGAAGCATCAGCGTGTGATCGACGAGCAAAAGTTGAAAGTGCTCAAATGGAACTTTACTACGCCCAGAGAAGAGTTCGTCGAGCTTCTGAAGGATCTTATGACCGCTGCGAACGTCAATAAGACTTTGAGAGCGAACATGTTTCATTCCGATTTTCGATACCATCTAAAGGCGATCGAAACACTTACCGAGGTGAGTACATATGTATGAATACAATAAAATAAAACGTTAGCAAAATTTATCGTACAGAAAGAATATTTAAATACTATTTTTCTATATATAAATTTTACTAATGTCATTTTATTTAATTTTATTATATAAATTTATTTATATTAACATAAATTTGTGGCTTCTAAAAGGTCGATTAAAGATCCATTGAAATCTTGAATTACATATGTCTATATAAGAATTATTTTTAAGATTTTAATTAATCTTTAATTAACATTTTGGAAGTCACAAATTTATATATATATATATATATATATATATGTATATATATATTGATTTTATAACGTTGTCCGATCCTCTCACGTATGACTGATGCGCACGCAGATTATACACGTCATATGGGACCTACATTAATTTATTTATTGCTGATTTCAAACGGCAAATTTCCCTGAGAGGTTTTTGGCCGGAATACTCTCGTGAGTTGGCTCGCCAGGCCCACGGAGAGGAGATAGGAGCGTATGTAAATATTTGGCCCTGTCTAGGGATCGAACTCGAGATCTCTGGCATAGCAAATCAGTGCGCTATTTGCCATGCTCGCTCTCTTCTTATTTTACTAAATAAGATTTGAAAAATATGTGTGTTTAATATATAACATCGATTCTCAATCTCGTTTATATATCCCTTTTATCAGGATCTTCCTGGAAATAGCAAAGCGTTAGTGTCTAATCTGGATCTCATTCTCAAGTGGTTGACATTGCGATTTTTCGATACTAATCCGTCGGTGCTTCTAAAAGGACTGGATTACTTACAACTGGTCTTTAATATGCTAATTGAAGACCAGTATCACATGTTGGAGACCGAGGCGGCGTCGTTTATACCCTACCTCATTATCAAAGTATGTCAATTTTGAATTGTTTCTTATATATATTTTTTTTACATGTAATGTTACATACGCTGCTGTTGATTAACAGATAGGCGACCCGAAGGATGCTGTGCGCAATGGCGTGCGAGCTTTATTCAAGCAAATAGCTCTTGTGTATCCCGTGAGCAAATTATTCTCGTACGTAATGGAGGGTTTGAAGTCGAAGAATGCCCGACAGCGAACAGGTAGACGATTTGATTTTTCCGTTTCCGTATAAAATGTTACGAAAATAATACGTGAATTGTGAGAACGAGTCGGTGCTTGCAGAATGCCTGGATCAATTGGGATCGCTGATTGAGAATTACGGGGTTGCGGTTTGCCAGCCTAGCCCATCCGCGGCGTTGAAGGAAGTTGCGAAGCAAATAGCGGATCGCGACAACTCCGTTCGTAATGCCGCGCTGAACTGCATCGTCCAGGCCTACTTCCTTCAAGGGGAACGTGTATTTAAGCTCATCGGCCAGGTACGCGAGTGTGAATTTAGTTACGATACAAACTCGAAAGAAGGAAACCGCAGTCAATCAGTTATGTTTTTTTTTTTTTTTTTTTTTGCCGCGTACAGATATCGGAGAAAGACAAGTCCCTGTTGGACGAACGGATCAAGAGGGCAGCGAAGAATCGTCCCACAAAATCGGCATCCGCCACCAGACTCTCCACGCCTGCGGTCGCAACTTCCAGCCCGCCGACTGATGACATGGAGGCGGATTACGAGGAGGAACCGGAAGAGATTGCCGAGCCAATGGAGACAGTACTAGAGCTGTGAGTCATTTTTACACGTGATATCACTAAATTGCTATCGTGCTGGATGTTTAACAGAATAATATTTTTTTCGTTTTTATATTTTAATTTTTTCTCCAATATTATTTTCTTGTGAAATATTATCTTGCCAAGTCACTCACGTTCGCACATGCTTCGCTTTTAACATATCCGCAGGGCATGTGCCACGGGCACTACTGACAATAATGAGGACGAGCAAGTGCCTTCCGTGGACATTAAGTCCGCGTCTCCTTCAAAACCGGACCAGGAAATTGTCAACGATCACGATACGCAAAATCATCTTTCCGGTCGAGATAATTCGAAAACGTTTGTTGCTTATTTTAGTCATTTACACAACTGTCTTTGCGACGCGCTTTAACATGGTGGCCGGGAAATGCCGCGGAATTCCATCGTGCATCCTGCTTACACTGATTCGTCTATTGTCGAATATTCGTATCGTTACTTGTATATCTGTTCGTTTTAGTTGCACTTTCTGTTTTAATTTGCCTCACTTTTTCTCTACTCTTTTCCTTTAATATGCTTGAATGTTCCGTCTGTTTCGTTTCAGAAAACAAAAAATGCACAAGTGGTTTAGGGATTTAAACGGCTACAAAATAAATAATACTTTACAGCACGATAATCTTTGTTTTTCCAACTTGCTTATCTTATCATAGTGATATATTTATCATTAAATCATATAAATTGATATAAGCAAGGATTTTCTACTCTTTTGTACTCTTTTCAACTTCACATTAGTTTATTAACAAGCAAATTAAAAATTTTTTGTTCAGATACTGCAATATTTTAATTGAATTATTCCAAATATTGTATCCACATAGTAGTGTATTCGATTTGTGATGTGTGTGTGTATTATTTTTTCGATTTTCAAAGATTTTGTCGTATCTATATTCAATTTATTTTCTAGGAATTCTCCTACATCGTTGCAAGCAAAGGTCCCTTCAGGTCCCTTTGGACTAGACATGGAGTTCCTGCAGAGGCTCGAACTGAGTGCCCCAGTGAAGTATCGTAATCCGATATTAGCGGAACCCAGCTTATCAGATTTGAACGAGCCTCCAGTTAACATGTTAAACCCACCGAAGACACAGTAAGTTAATGATAAAATTATGGGTGTGTGAATAGAAATCAGGTTACTTATATATAATTAAATAATTTATTATTTTATTAATTTTGTGTATTATAAATTCAAGGATATTTTATCAAATAAATTAATAATTTAATAATTTTGTTTACTCAACTTTTCAGAATGATACCGATTTCACCACCGAAATTGTTAGTGTCAAAATTATCATCCGCTGTATCACCTCCTGCTGCTAGCAGTAAAGATGACACACTCGAGCGTAACATCTTGTCGATGGCCAGTATGGATTTGCCCACTGCAATACAGTCCATGAATGCAATAGAAAACGTTCGTATTTACTCTTTTAATATCCAAATATATTAAAAGACACACACGAATATTTAAAGATTTTCAAAAATATTTTACATATTAGTTTTATTATTGTGATTTCTTCAAAATTTTTGATGCGAGGATATTAAAATAAGTACTTTCTAAGCATTCATTTCTTCTCTCTAGCCTACGTCTGGGAAGAAATCGATGTTTTGCAAAAAAATGACCTATTTAAAAATCACAATTTTCTGCTTTGCATTTCTGCGTGTAATATACGCATAAATACCTATTAGCTTTTTTATATTACAGTTATTAAAATCTCATCAAGCGGTCACCTTGCAATCCAAGGAGGACAAATTCATCGGATCGATAAACATGCAACTGAAGTTATTGCAAACGTATCCATTACGACAGGAAAACGCGGACGTATCTAGGGGCTTCAGAAATACATTCCTGGTTATTCTCGTGGTAAGTACAATGACAATTCATTATTTTATAGATTATATATTTTAATAAACAATTTAGTATAAATTTAAAAAAAGGAATAAATACTAAAAAATTTAATTTTTAATAAGGCATGTTTCTGACAAAAGAAATTAAATTTTTTTTCAGTTTTATGACACTGGATTTCTCGGGAAGAATGTCCCTTTCATACATTTGAAGGAATTGGTAGATCAGATGATCAGTTTGTTGGCCGAAAACAAGTTGGAGCATTTGCATCAAGCTGGAGCGTATTACAGGGTGATCAATAACATCATGGTGAAAATTATTGACAACTCTAATCACACCACCATCATATGGTACGATTTACGAGAGAACAATAACGTTTACAATAACGTGATATTTATCACGTTCATTTTAATTTTTCTTTTGTACTTTTATTTATTACATTTGTTTTCTAGTGTATTGATCAAACTACTTCATTCCTGCGCTGAATCAAATGTTCCCTCGAAATATGAGGAGTTGGTGATGAAATGTTTGTGGAAAATAGTGAAAACAATGTCGAATTGGGCCGCTGATTTGGATTACGATACAATACTCTTGGAAGTGCACCGTTTCCTTAAGGTAATTTCTTTGAGGTATCGCAATGTTTGATTATTCAAATAAATAAAATGTATACAAGAAAGATTATCTCATTTTGCAACTTACATGAGTTATTAATAATCGATAAACGTTGCGATTTGTGCTTCGCTGACTATGTCTTAAATATTTCAACGTGGCAACATTTCGTATATTGTATGTACGTGTTATTTCCGCTTTGCAGGATTATCCTACTACATGGTGGAAGAAACGGAAGTCCGATACTCCGCTACGAACAGTCAAGACGGTTCTTCACAGTATGACCAGGGTGAAAGGCAGTTCGATACTTAATCACATGACGCTAATAAACAACACGAATGAATCTGAATTACACGCTTACTTAATAAGATTAATTGCGGTTAGTTATATTTTATATATTGTTTTTATCAAGTATTAAGTAATACGTTATACGTTATATATGTCGTATCGCTCATATTAGATATTAGCATTATACATACAGATGTATTATATATCTATATATAATGCTAATATCTAATATAAGCGATATTATACATCTATAGGAAAGATATACATCAGGAATTAATTAATATATTTATCTCAACAGAGTTTGAAGCCAGATGAGATTAATGCAGCGAAAGTGACACCAAAAACGAATAATGTGGGGAGGACGCCAAAACACTTGTCCAAGTCCACTCGTCAGCAGTTGGCGGAAATATTCAAGAAAATTGGATCAAAAGAGCACATGCAAGAGGTACGTATGTACATACAATTATATAAATATTTTTTAATTTTATTTATTAATTTTTAATGATAATATATAACATAAAACATTCCGATTGAACTTTATTAAATATTTCCAAAAATTCTTAGTATATTTTTTAAAATTATTTCGTCATACTTTAAAATGCCTTATATACATTTCTCAGATTCTTAATAACGTTCTCACAATTTGAAGTACTTTTAATCGTGTAATCGTATTTTCGTAGGGCCTAGTGCAATTATACGATTTCAAACTTCAATATCCGGAGGCTGACGTACAACCGTTTCTGGTGAAGTCCCATCAATTTTTCCAAGATTTCATAGAACAGGGACTGAGGGAGATCGATCAGGCGCGAAAAAACCAGAACATTTTGTCGCAGGCTAATAACCAATACTCTACGGGTAAGCAGCGCCAGACGAGTCTTATTAAATTTTCCATGAGCATAAAACAGTTGATATTAACAAAACGACTTGCTTTCTTATCTCGCGTTTACATAGAATAAAATAATGATTACACGAAAATCCGTAGGCTTCGTTTAAACTTTCGAATTCGGACGTTTCCAATTTCGACACGCAATATAATCATGCAAAATAACAATCGTTTGTAATTATTTAATCATATGCAAAATAAATGATGCAGAAGCCACCGAGTCTTCGGCCGCGGTTGCTGACGAGAAGGACCTGATGGATCCAATGTACAGGCTCGAGAAACTCCGAGCTCTGGAAGCACAATGTAGAACTTCCTCTCAACCGAACCCACCCTGATCCAACACAAGTATATATTATTAATTAGGTAAGCGGAACACGATACATATATACATGTATGTGTAAGATGATGCATATTTGTCCGACTTATTTATTCGCGTCTCTATTTCAAAATGTTCAATCCCATGGCGTTCTTCGACTGATTTTTCCCATTAACCGTCGTTCTTGCGCTTGACGCGTACGAATTTCCGGATTTCGCGAGGTTACAGTCAGATTACTTGCTCTCGGTAAATTAGTTTGAATTGATTTGCACAGTTAGCAGAAGACTTTTTAGCGACCGCGAATCGTAGGAAATAATAATATAGCTGCGCCATCGGATATCACGCGCCACATCGAATATCGATGTATCATAACGATCCTGCGTTCTAACTGTAGCAGTGTGTTATGTTTTCCACGATGTAACGACGATGCGTGCATGCTAATGACGTTTTGTTTCTTCCACAGCAGTTATGTATAGTTAATAAATAATGTTACTAATTATGTAAGGCCAAGCATATATAATGGTACATGTATGTATAAATATACGAAACTTGCACGAGCGTCACTCATGTCGTAGCATGATTTGATTTTACATTGTTTAACTTAGTATTTTTTTTACGCTATTTTCTAAATAAATTTATTCCATTTGAACTTGATTAGATTCACAATCATCATCATATCGTCGTTGTTTTCGCAAAATTCCTTCCCATTTTTGCAAAGAAAAGAGAACATTAGTATGTTATGTCATTAAGTATATCATCTGAACTGTCATATCATTCAATTTCTGAAAAAAGTTGCACTTGAAAAGAAAAAAAAATACGAATGGGCAGACGATGTATGGATCGATATAATCTAGCGCGATGTATGTACAATGTGATGAATTATTAATCTTAGCAATATGATTTTTTTATTCTTCCTACGTAAAAAATGTTGCTGTATAATTAATGACAAAATATTAAAAGATCTTACACGATTCCTTTTGTGTGTTACAAATCTTTTAATATTTTTAATTTAAATATCAAGAGATTATATAGATACCATACAATTCAAAAAGATTTGATGCCTGTTAAAGGCTTAAGTATCAGAGATATAGATATTTCTTTCTTTCACACAAGTCTTTTTATATGGAAGATAAAGACAGAAGGCTTCGCGGAGACAACAGCGATCTGAACTATTTATTAAGACGCAAAACTGTCATACCCCAGTTAGTATTTATGGATAGAATCGAAAAATAAGTAGTAAAGATAATAGTTAGCAATCAACATCGATACCTCGATGTTTATTACTCGATATAATAAAAAAAGGCGACGTTGAGCTGTAAAAATCTCATAACTCAAAAACATCCAGATTTCAAGTTTCAAAGTCTTTCAGATTAAAAAGGATGATGTCTTTTTGAGACATACGAATTCTAATGTTGATAATTTTTCTTCGAAAAATTGCTTTGTCGTTGTTTTGAAAAATGTTGATTTAGAAAACTGGCGTGATTTGATATCAGTTATGAATAAAATAATTAAATCTCACAAAAATTATAGCGTTTGCAAAAATTAATCAATCGCGCGATTATTACAAAAATTAAACTTTTCGCCACAAATTATAAATCGTATTGATTACTGTACCACAAACAGAACGCGTACACCACACAATTGCAAAAAGAATTACGATTGTCAATAAGATTACAATTATTTTTCCGCTTGTTTACGAATAAGCGTCAGGTATTACGAAATTTTTGAGTTACGAGATTTTTGTGGCTCGACGAAGTGAAAAGCGTATTCACCTTTCTATTATCGGTGCGGAGAAGAAATAACGAAGAACATACGGGGATCGTAGCTAACAATATATTTAAAAAAAGGGAAAGAATAGAATCTACTTTACTATTTGAAAATCTTATGACTCGAAGTTGCTATATTTGAAAACTTACTGCTTTTTCCGAAGACTTATATTCTGTAGTGTAAATAGAACATGTATATACATGCACTAATAAAAATGATATTCGACAAAGCTGATATGTCCGAAAAAAAAACGAGATTACAGGCACGAATTTTTCCGAATGAAATCTCCTTTATTAACATGTCCATAATACTCGACAGCCTCGAGCTGTGGATTTCAAAGGTTTCAGTTTTACAATTACCGTTCACAAAATGTCTTTTATTTTCTACGAAATATTTGCAATCTCTCCGAGTAAATTTGTGAAAACGTAAAACATTGCAAATTCATATAACACATTTTTATATTTGCATGTCTACTTTACAATATTTATTATTTCCGCATAAAACTCTTCTCTCTCTCACAATATATTATAAAATAGATTTTCCTAAGATAAACTTCATTGCACCATATAATTTCACCGTCATATGGTGAGGAAATTCTATTTACAATTTCTATTATATTGGAAATTTTGTTTCATTAAAAAGTGAACGAACATTCCTTTGTCGTATTTCTTTGTCAAATCTAAGCGGCACGGCATCACGCCGACACAACATTTTGTTGTATTATCATTATGTGTTTTACATCATTATATATTACAATTCTCTATATCTTACAAATGGCATGTACAAATATAATACAGGCGGATAAGCCTATTTATATGAAGTACAGGTGGGTAATGTATTGGTGTTTGCACACAGGCAAGACGTTAGGTACACAACTTCGACAAAATCGCATTACGAGAATCTCCTGTGCGCCTCGCCTTTCGAGTGCCGCCTCGATATTATTACATTTACTAAAAGATAGTTCCAAAGTTCACGAAGTATCATTATCAAGTACAAAAAATATCAGTACAAAAAAATATTTTTTTCTTTTATAAAATATCGATAATGAAATTTTCTAACTTAAAGGAACTTTGCGACGAATATGCGGCATCTCGATCGTCCTTACGAACAATGGAAAAAATTTGACTAAAAAAAGTAGATACGGAAATCAAAAGTTCGTATAATCATTAAACTGCCCAAGTAACAAGATAACGTCAAATGACATTTCAATAACGTCTTATTGACGTTAGAGCCATTTTTAAGGCGTATTTGACTTTTTAAGACCTCACCGTCATCTTACCACTTGGGTGTTAGCGAAGTAATTTTCTTCTTCATCGATAGTCAAGCACGTTATTATATACATATACACAATTTATATATAAGCTATATTGAGAAGACACAAGTTCTCTCTCGCTGGCTAAAACTGGCCAGCACCTAACTTAACTTCGTTCGATTTTGCAAAAACTCCGTAGAACAGGTCATACTGTACATACACAATACTCTCGTAACATACACGATACATATACAATGTTTACGAAGCAATACTGGTAGAAATTTCTGAAGTTAAAGAAGATATGTCCTCAAACGTCTTCTACGGGATTGACGAAGAGCGCCGTTACGGCAAATAATAGGAATACCAAACCCCCAATAATGGTCACTGAAAATATCGAGAAAAACCATTAGACATTCTCCACAACACTCGTGACATTGTGATTAATAGACATGCCTTGTATTGTGCGCACGCAGTAAAATAACTTGAATTACCTGTTCTCACGGATATTTTTTGTGCTATTATACGCCCTCCTAAAACCGCTAAGCCCGTACAAAACGAATGACCCAGTACTCCACCTAGAACTACTCCGTAAACATCCTGAAAAAGTAGCATAATCATAAATGCCGTTTACGCGTAAAGATGCTTTACTGTTGCAGTAAAATCGTTGCGTAAAAAGGTATACCTCTCTTGCCGCGAGGATAATGGTCGTTAACTGAGAACGATCGCCCCATTCCGCGAGAAAGGTGAGCGTGAATGCTTGAAAGAATATCCTAGAAAGCAGCATGAGCGCGCTACTCTTAGTGGTCTTGCGTATCACTCCGGTTTCGGGGTCCTGAACTAAAGTACTTGTCGTCTCCTTTTCATACTGAAAGCGATGACATTTTAAAGATTATTTAACCTTCTGCAAAAACGTCAGATAGAGTGCTATTTAGACGAACGACTCTCTTTTATTATACTTAAGAAATTAATTCTTTCGGCGGAGTATCTTTGCATTTCTTTTTATAATCGAACAGAGAAAACGCTTCACTTAAACGGAGGAGTAAAAAAATTAATGGTTCCTTCTCCATTCTTGAATGTAGATAATTCTTGTGAGTTTAAATTAAATTTAAGCATTATTGACAATTAAATTTTTAGTTTAAGAAATAAAAGAGGGTGGTTAATGGGACATTAATTTCGATAAATATCAATTCTGTCTAATCTTCTCACTTGATTAACGATTTTTTTCGCATATTATTTACGTGCGTAAGTATTCTGTTGCATCCGAGGCATTTATCGAAACATAAAGCAACTGAGGAAATTTGTAAGTTTACCTCGTCGTCTCTCTTTCTCAGGTCAGACTGAACTTCTTCTAGCTCTTCCTGCGCTTCCGTCGGCGACATATAATATCCGTCTCGTAACATTTTCAATCCAAACAGAGCAAAGAGAAGAGTGGAGATATAGTAGGTATACGCACGAGGAATTATCGTGGCAGCGTATCCAAACACCACTAGAGGTAAAAAATACTTCATGTTAACGTTGTAATTGTCGCTTATGACAAATCCGGTTAAACATACGCGTAAGTTACGAAATATTATAAATTATTATAAGGATTGTTGCATGTGTGTGTGAAATATTGAACTTAACATCGACGATTGAAAAGTCTTCAAAGATTTGACGGCACACGCAACTAGTAATAATATCCGTGAAATTATTTGCATATTCCATCGCGATGATACCTGACAGAATAGTCATCAGCGCGAGAGCGCTTATCGCGCCAACGAATACAGTCAATCTCGGATGCTTCATCGCCATAATAGCCGCGATGAAGAACGTTTTGTCTCCCAGCTCCGACACCACGATGACCGACAAAGACGCGATGAAGGCGTGCAGGAAGCCCACTCGGTCCTGCGGCTTTTCGGACACATACTCCGGCAATTTCTGAAAATATTTTACGAGTTGACACGAGAGACTCAAAACATCTGTTTAGTGGCTCGTTTGTTAAGCTTGTAACTTTACAATACAAAATTTTTGGGTCTTGGAGTATTTTAGAATTTTTCAGGCGGTTTGGAAGATTCACCTTTAGTAGCTTTTTTATTTTTTTAACGTTTAAAATTTTTTTAAATTTAAAAAAATTGAGGACTTAGGGGAGCTTGGACATCTTAAATTTGTGAATTCAGAACGTTCGAATCTACTTAATGGAGTTTTTCTCGTAAGTAGGGCTTTTTTTTACAGAATCGCAGACGATCACGAGATTCGAAGGACCGCCGAGAACAAACTTCATGGAAACTTACCGTCGTCGTCGCGGACAGTTGAATCTTCTCATCGTAACGCGGCTCGATCTCGCAAAGGACGGCCGAGAGATAAAACGTCAAAATCAGGGAGCAGACGTAAATTAAACGTTCGGCTCCCATTTTGCAGCTTTTGCGATAATCTGTGGCGTAAATTTACTCTGTTGCGAGCAACGTGCGTGACAGGCGTTGCGGTTGAGATAACCTTAAAAAAAAAAACGTCCTTGTTCCGAATCTCAGGAAAATCGTACCGCAATCGCCATGTTGTTTTTTTCAACGAGTTTCACGACAACGGACTCGTGATAAGGTTAGATCGCACACCGCCGTCGAAAAGATTGTCGGCACTGATTCAGGCCCGTCCACATGGATTCGCGAAGTCCGACACAAATCGATAAAGAAGATAAACAGAATAGATAAAATTGATGCAACATTATAAATTGATGCACAGAACGCGAAAATATTATGCAGTCTCTGTGATTTCGATGCAATTCTAATTTTTCTGTAATTTTAATAATTTCGAATTTTATTCACTTTGACAGGCACGCAAAAAAAAAAAATCCTCTCGCCGATTCGCGATAAAACGAAAACAATTCCGCAAACTCATCTTTTCCCCCTTTTTATACATTTTTCTGTCGCGTAGAAAAATTTGAGGATTGATTAAGAGACAAATGGGTTCTCGTTTAGAATGGCACAAAACACGAGGAGGCGTACACTTCCCACTTTATTTTCGTTATTTCATTACTTCTTGAAATCCAAACACATCTATTTGTCTATCGATGAAATGATATATATATATATATATATATAATAAATATCCGCATTATATCCTAAAATTAACAAAATATTCTTTCCTTTTTGTTTGTCTGTTGTCTCCCTTGGTCTAAAGTGTACGCAATTTTTATTATTTTCTCCTTTTTTCTTTTTTTAAGAAGCGTCTCTTTCTTCCAAAGACATCTTTTTATAAATTTAAATGCAGTGTATACGTCGTAACAACAACCAGCCTTAGCTAATAGTTTATTCATTATTATTTTATTATTATTATTATTAGTATTACTACTCTACTACTATTACTATTATATTATCCTTATTCGAGAAAGACGTTGCGAAGCGAATAAATCAGGTGTAAACAACGTAAGTGTATCGATTATATAAACCCTTTATGCGTATCAAATCTTTCGTGAGAACATTAGAAACGAAAGTGTAGGAAAGAGATACGTATATCTAAGAACCTGTGTGTTTCACGCGGTTGCTCTCTCGTTTCCGTCGAGACGACCAATTCGTGCGGAAAATTTAAAAAAAAAAAGAGGAAGAAAAGAAAAAGAAACGAAACGTTATTGTATTTTCGTCAACAACTCAAGGCTGATTATATTCACATATTTCTTCTACGGGATTACGTAATAATCCATTTAATAATACATCGATCTAAGGAACTTTATGGGATAAAATAAAGAGTTTTTCATCTCTCCAGTTTGATTTACATCAGATTCTACGGAAACGGTGCGGCATACGGAGTGAAAGCTGAAAGAAAGTCAATCTCATCAAAGATATCATCCTCTTCTTCCTTTTCCTTTTCCTTTTCCTCCTCCTCCTCCTTGTAGAAATTTGGCATTCGCTTCTATTTTCTCTTCTTCCTTTTCCCCGATCGGATCGCAATCGTGAGCAAACCGGTCGAAGTAAGGTACAGCGAAGAGAAAAACGAGAAAATTAAATTTAGCCGGAAAGCTGAACGCGAGATACTCCGCGGATACGTCGCTGCGATCGTGTATATCGGATTATGACATCATCAGAGACGTGAGAAATGCGCGATCTATTTGCGTATATCAAGATATATAAAGATACTTGGTAGAATTTGCGTATATGCACAAGTGTAACTCTGCAGAAATTCGATAACTCGTTAATTTATTTGATTTAAATAACAAGTTCATAGTACATCAAGAGTTTATTAATTTATTTTTTACCGTTCTTTATTATGGATCCGTCCATCTCGATTAAAAGAAAAAGAATTTCATTACAAAGCATTTCAATGAAAATAAGGAAATTGGCTATTCGATATCTGAACGAAAGAACGACGATTTGAATGTTAAAACAGTATACAACCCGTACGATATCACAATCCGGCACGGTTCGTAGCGACAGATCGGGAAAGCCTTTTTGGAGGTCAAATTCGCCTACAAATTTCATTCCCTAAAACGAAACGAAGAATCCGACCTCGCTGTCGCACGCACCTGCTGCTTCAAGATCACTACTACTAAGCGCTGGCGGTAGTAACGCGTGAGAATTCGTATCTCTCTGACGACGAAGAAAAAAAAAGAAAAATCTGTATATATATATATATATGTAGAAAGAAAGAGTGCCTCACACAGACATTCATAGACGAGGATCAGCAGCAGTTAATGTCTCCTGTATGTATTACATCGTCGTAAAATAGAAATTTGTAGAAATCACTATGTACGGCTAAGTGTCTCAGTTAAGTAGACATCATCTGGCGCGATCGGGGGCCGCGCGGGCGAGTCAGGGTAGAGTGTAGCGCACGTACGGCACCTCAACGTCGTTCCCGTCCTCGTCGTTGCAGCACAGCTCAAACACGAGGGCGCGCACGTGCGGCTCCAGCTTCTTCTTCGACACCTTCTTCACCACCTCCGACATGAGCAGGCCCATACGCTCCTGACACTTGGGCTTCGCCATGAAGAACGAGTACAGCATGCAGATACCCTGCGACAGCATCGTCACTTCGAGATTGTGGCGCTCTTTGAAGTAGTCGAGGAACTCCTTCAGCGTCAGCTCGCCCTTTACTTCGAAACGGTCCCACAACGTCCACTCGATGTCGTAGTACTTGAGCTTGGGGGCGGCGATCGGCTCGCTGAAGCCGAAGAACGGCAGCGCCAGATTCACGAAGCCGTTCTTGTACAGCGACAAGTCGCGCACGCCGCGGGTCAGCTTGTACAGTTCCAGACAGACGAGGCCGGCCACCACCGAGGTGGTGGTGGCGATCGCCGGGATGATTTTGCCGGCGATCAATTTGCTCTTGTGCCGATCCGCCGGTGAGATTTTGTAGTTGGTAGCGCGCAGATTCGACGCCGCGACAATGAAGTCTATGTGGAAGTTGGTGTCGTCGTCCTTTTCGAATTCCTGCGGATAAATCGCCAGGCCGTTCAGATCCTCCATCTTCGGCAGCTCCTCCTGCAGCTGCGACAGTCGTTCGTGGTCGATGTTACCGCTGCCATTCGATACTTGCACCTGAAAACGCAGCCGATCTTTTAATTCTTTTCCTCGATATTGCAAAAATTATAGCAATTTCTCATTTCAAATATTTTTAATATTATATCTCTTAAGATTTTCGAGACTACTTTAGTACTTTCCCGATTTTATTATCGTTAATATTATTAATAGTGATAGAATCTTGATTTTCTCTTACCAAGATTTACAAGGATTTGTTTTATTTTAAATAACACTCGATTCTTAAAATTTTCACCGAATCGTTGAAATGTTTTTCAATTTATTTCTTACCTGTGAGTCTGTTTCGGCGATCTTCACGCCGGATTTGGGTGTGAAATCTGGTACTTTGACGGTGGCAAGGATCCTGGCGATCTCTTCCCTATCGCGGTTTGTGGGAATTCCGTAAACTTTGGCCTTGAGATTGGCAGCAGCAACGATGTAATCCACGTGCAGGGAGTCATTGACGTCGAGGATTAATGGATCTGGACAGCGTTTCGGGCCGGACCAGAAGGGCTGACCGCTCGAGGTCACCTGATCCGGTGGAAAGTTGAATAACAGCTGGCGGATTTGATTGCTGTATTGCTCCTGCCAGTGGCAACGGGCCCACGCCACGCAATCGGCGAAGTTGTCCGGTCTCTCGTCGATCAGCGCCGTCTTGACGGACTCCAACACTTCGAGGGGCTGCACACCGGGCAGCTTGAGCGTCCGATCGACGAACTGCGGATCGGAAATGTACTGCGCCGCGTTCTCCGCTGACTGACGGAACAGGCCTTCGAAGTTGTCGCGGGCCCATTGCAGAGTATGCTCGATGGCATTGGGGAAGTTCTTGAGCGTACAGATAGGAATGCTCTTTTCCGGCGGGTCCTGCGACGAACTGTATGATTCAGTGAGGAATGGTACCACCACCTGGGTATTGCCTTTAGTGCCGAGCGTACCGGATTCCAGTAGGGGTTTATGGTAGTACACGCAACGACGGTCCATGTAAATACGGGCGTTCACGTTGTCAAGCGCGTTCGCCACGCCGTCCAGCACTTCGAAGAAATCGTCGTTGTAGATCTTCTCCGTTTCCGGGCACACCCGATTCTCGTGCGCGATCACCTTCATGTCGGGATTCATGCCCTTGATGACTCTGGCCGCGGTCGCCGATTTGGATTGCTGCACGTCCGACGGCCTGAACAGAAACTGCCGATTCAAGTTGGACTTCTCGATCAGGTCCATGTCAGTCACCGTGACACAACCGTTTTCCGCGCCAACGCCGATCATCGCAAAGTTCTTCAACAATTCACAACCAATTGCGCCGGCACCGACCACAAAGTATTTCAAACTGCCGATCTTGGACTGGAATTTCTTGCCGAAAACAGCCATCTGAAAGAACAATTTAATTTAATTATATTTACTTAATACCATTGTTAATATTATATATTTTAAGATTTTCAAGACTACTTTAATACTTTCGAGATTTTATTATCATTAATATTATTAACATTGATAGAATCTTGGTTTTCTCTTACCAAGATTTTCAAGAATTTTTTATTTTAAATAACACTCGATTCTCAAAATTTTCACCGAATTGTTTATCAATTTATTTCTTATGGGATTAAGTTAAGTGTTTTATATATTCATTTATTACAAATGTGATTATCGAATTATATTTCACGAATAAATAATTAGTATTCAATTTTATTCAAATTTTCCGAAATTTTTCTTGAAAAAAAAAAAAAAAAAAAAAAAGACTCGATTATTGATCAGTATTATACCTGAGAATCATAACGGGATCCCGTGGGACAGCAGTCTTCCTCGGTAAGCTCCGAATGGTCAACGGGCAGACACTCGATGGCGTCGAAGTACATCCATTGATAGATTGGATGGAACTTGCCGGAGCAGGCTTTCATCACCTCCTGGGCAACAATACCGCCGATTGTGGCGTTCATGGGGTTCAAATCGCCAGCGGACACCTTGGCAAACGTGCGTAGCAACTCGCCATTAATCTCGGTGTCGAAACCGTAGCTGTCCTTGATCTGTTCGGCGATGGTGATAAACTCGTCGGCATCTGACTGGTTCCATGGTCGCGGCAATGTGCCTCTATCAGCCATGTACTGATGTAGCGCCAGGAAGGCCAGATGTAATTGTTCCGGATAGTCGAATTTGCCAAAGTCCGTGACGAGAAACTCGGGCTTCTTCAGGGCGGTTTGCAGCGGCGTGAAGTGCAAGGTTTTGGGCATCTTCACTTGCGTCACGATACCGCTGCGCACGTACTCGGAAAACCTGGCGATATTCGATTCGTTCGATTAGGTTGACCGAAAAGTCTTCATCAAAGTAAATATTGTAAAAAGAAAATATTGTACTCTAATTATATTATATTTTTTGAACAGAAATGATGAAGAATTAGTGAAATCACACGGTTTAAAAATTGACCGATCAACGTCTACGTCTCAAATTTTAAATCCTAGCGAGATACTTATAACGGCATTCACCTGGAAGTATCGCCAATGCTGAAGGTGTATGGGCCCAACACTTTGATCTTAATCGGGTCGCATCCATTTAGTTCGGTCATGCCCTGCACCTCAGAGAAAGTCACGTAGTCGCCGTCCTCCATGCCGTGGCGAGTGTCATCCAGACACGTGACAACACCTTCGCTGTCGCGAGAGATGCTGGCTACCATCGCGCTCACCGGCGGCTCGCCATTTGTGTCCACCACCGTGAACGTCTCACCGAAGTCGCAGAATACCTGCGAGAAGAGGCCGCGGGTGTCGGCGAGTATTAGGGCAATGCCGTTGGCGCGGGTGATCTGCGCGATGCGCAGCTGCTCGACCAGCGGTGTTTCCGTCAGCACCACAACTTTGAACTGCTGGATATACGCCTCGTTCAGCGGACCGGAGTAGTGACGAGTAGGCACGTAATTGTTCAGCTCCGACAGACGTTGACAGCACGCTGCCGCACGGTTCTTACCTGTCAGATAAGTTCCATCCAGTTTTAATAAAAGCATTATTAATTAGTTCAATTAATGTGTTATCAAATATTAATTGTTAAATTAAAATAATTACAAAGTTATAATAATAGCCGTACTAATTTTCGATATTGACGCATGCCAACATCTTTATAAATATTAAACTTGGATTGCAGGTCAATAGAGAATATTTTGTTAATCATAAATTATATTTCAATTTTTATCTTATCAAAATTTTTTAGATATCCGTGTACAGATTGTATAAATCTATAACTTAAGGAGAAATCTTTAGAGATTCAATTTTGTCAAAATATGTGCATTAAATATTACTATGTATAGATATATCAATATTATATGTACAGTATTAATTTAATTTAATATATTTAATGTACAACGTCCAAAATCTTTTTCTCATACATTCTGCTTGATATCTTGAAATTAACACAGCTTTAAAACAAAGGGTATGTTATTTCAGTCGCTTGAGCAATACTTTGCAAGACAACCTTTTCATCATGACTTGCACTAATAGCACATACAATTTGCAGTTTTATATCATATTTTTAGTGTATGATAGAAATAATGACAACTGTGTCACTGGATGGTGCAACAGAATTTATAATTTGCTTGAGAATAAAACAGCTGTGCCTTATCTCAATTTAAATCTTATCGTTCTGTAGATTAGAATTGCACAAGTTTATCGCTAAAATCCAAAGCCGAATCTTTGATAAATAAAAGAAATTTCTGTGTCCTTTTTTTTCTGTCAATATATAAAACTTGATATATTTTTAATTCATTCAATGTCATATCCATTTCTTGTAGATTAAATTTCATTTTTAAAGCAAAAAAAAAATGGAAGAGTACAATTAAAACAAATATATCTCTGTTGGAGAATATTACACACTCCTTTTTATAAATATCTATTTTTTTTTTAACACGTTATTTCTTCTTCTTGGATCTCTCCTCCTCTTTTCCATCAATTTTACATCAATTACCAAAAAAAAAAAAAAATTAAAAATTTACGTGTTACGTTATATTATTGATTTTAAATTTGTTTTTTCTGATTACTGACTACAAAAAAGGCATAATAAGTAAAAGCGCGCGCGCTTTTTTCGATCTCTGGCGCGTCTCACGTGTTCCGACCGGCATTATTCGGGGGCCCGCGTACGTTCCTCACCTACGTCAGCCTCGGTGAGATAAAACTGCGAGCCCAGATCGACCAATTTGCACACGGCATGGTCGTGGAGCGTGACAGACTTGACGCCGCCGAGGATGACGTTCTTGGCGATCTCGATCCCGAGGCCGCCGAGGCCGGAGATGAGCACGTCCGAGGACGCCATGCGGCGCATGGCGTCGTGTCCGAGGACGTAGAGCTGCCGCGAGTATAGACCCTCGTCGATCTCGGCGGGTGACCGGCCGGTGGTGCCTCCGCCGCTGCCGCCGCCGCTGCTGCTCGTGGAGCCGTTCTTCGCCATGTCTACGTCCATCTCCGCCACGTTCGTCGTCGTCAGCTCGTCGTCGGCTCCTCCCGTCGTGCTGGCAGCACCAACGCGTCGCTTCTTGGCTGGGGGATCAACGGAGCTCTCCACCACCTCAGCACTAGACATCGGAGGACTTGACGGACGTGTTCACGGGGACGTCGGATTATGTGCCGTCGATTATTTCCCCTGATTGTGCTCTCACTCTTTCTCTCTCCCACTCTCTCTCTCTCTCTCTCTCTCTCTGTCTCTCACCCTTCCCTCTTTTCACTCCCTCGCTCTATCTCTTTCTCTCTCTCCCTTCCTCTCCTCGGAGCCTCTCTCGACCTCGCGCTTGCCACCGCGCCGCGATACAGGGCTCGCCGAATCTCGGAATCACCTCGGTGTCGACGGCGACGACACCAGGAACGCAAAATAAATACCCACGACCACGGGACGCGCACCGACCAACCTCACACTGCCGCCAGCACACACGTCGCCCCCACCACTCTCCTCTCCTCTCCACCGCTCCACTCCTAAACTCCTTTGCCCCCTGTTCGACCACCGCGGCGGCCACTGCCGCGCGCCGCAGCCCCCGCCGAACGCCTATCCTCGTGCCTGCCTGTCCCCGCGACCCCGTCACCGTCTTCGTGTCCGTTTGCGGAGCACCGCCGATGCCGCCTCTGTCTGTCCCTTAACCGGAGAACGACGACGTAAGAATCCTCGCACCGCGACACACCGTTTCCGCCCGAATCTACCCCGACGACGCTGCTCGCGCGCTCCACGTCCCACCCCCCCTCGCGCACTCTCATTCGCTGTTGCTACACGGATTCGTCGATTTGCTCGCCGCCCCCGTCTCTCGTCACTCCCTGCGCCGCCCTGTTCACTGAAGCTGTCGCTGTGCCGCGATCGACTCTGATTGGACGCGCCATGAATAAGCAAAATTCTAGAGTTGGCGCGCGCACTGTTGACGTATCGTACCTTCGCAATTTTTATTAAATCCGATTAATTTATGGATTGTCTCCGACTCTATTCAGAATGCATTCGAATTAAATTTGAGAAATCGACCGCGGTAACGGAAAGTAAAGAATTAGATTTGAAAAACGCAAGGATTTTTTTTTTGCCGCGATTTGCAAGAACGATTGGTCGTGCAATTGTCCGGTTCGAGATCACATGCGTGAAATGAAAGAAAGTCTTTGTAATCGTTCGATTGAACGACTTCGCGACGCGTTTTATTAAAATCATTTATTTTTGCTGACGTAAACATTGATTTTTGCTTCGAGGAAGGATAAACAGGTAAATGAGGATAATGTCACGTAATGACTTTCGGAACGTTCGCGCGTACGTATGTTGGCAGTCGTGTGCGCCAATCACGGCGCGAGTTCGCGGTGGCGTGGCGTTCGTGACGTAGCGAGAGTCCGAGAAGCGCGCGGCCAATCGGAGCGCGACGACGGACTCCGACTCCGAATGCTCCGAATGCTCCGACTTGCTCCGACTTGCTCCGATCCGAGCCGAAGCGGTTCAAAGTGTCTGCGAAGGAAGACGCAGCTGCCCGCTGCACGCACGGGCTTCGCATCTTTTCCCGCAATTTAGTCGCCAAATATCTATGGATCGCGAATCTCAGGAGCGGCAATAAATCCACGAAACATGACGACCCGAGAGGATGTATTCCGTAAGAGTTCGAAGCCATCTCTTTATCAAAGAACTGACCGACGTACCGATGAGAAAACGCGGCGTCTACGCGCTATTTTTTTCCTCGACGCATTCGTCATTTCGCAAACGTAGATTTAAGTAGCAGAGCTGAAGGAAATGACCAAGGAAATTTAAACGATTTAACAGATATCTAAGATTATGAAGAAGTATATATGTACGCGGATTCTGTGAAACAAGTAGATATAAGGGAAAAGGACGTACGGATCTACGTAGAAAAAAAAATTTTCTTTCAATCCGCTTTAATTTGTCAATCCTCTTACACAGTTTTAATTTATTAATTTATTCTATATTTAATTCTGTACAATTCCCGTCGTTTCTCCTTAGAACAATCTTCGACCGAGATGATATGAACTAAGAGAAAGACTTCGTCTGACGTGGGCGTGTATATATAGGAGAGTGTATACTTTACAGATACAATTATTATGAGTAATCGTATATGATTAAGTGTACAAATAGACGTCTCACTCGATGTTTCTCATAGAATAAAAAGAGATTGTCATTCCTTTCATTTTGCGTGTCGCGTTTTCCTCGAGAATGAGCGAGCAACTGCACCGCGGTCTGCCTGTCGTGATCTAGCTGTCCCCTGTCGGCGAGAGAGATCGCGGTCTCAAAGTCGCGCGTTGTCGTTGTCGTCGTCGTCGTCGACGGAGACCGGGCTGCCGAACGCCCGCTGCTCGTCCTTGATTCTTCCCCCGTCGTCCCTCCTGTCCTTCCCACTGGTCCGCGACTGCGACTTCCGGCTCTTCCGCGGTTCCGGCTTCGACGTCGCGAACGACGAGGGCGAGTGCGTTATCGGCGGGAACGGGACCGTGGGGGCGACCGAGTCCGCGGAGTCGGGGGCGGAATTACTGCCCTCCTCGAGAGGACCGCTTAGAATCGAGTCAGGCGATCCGTTAGATTGCTCGGCGTGCGTCTCGGAGACATTGGTGGCGGTTGCGGTGGTAGCGGTGGTGGTGGTGGTGGTGGTGGCGGTGGCGGTGGTGGTGGTGGTGGTGGCGATGGTGGTGATGGGGCCGTCCGCAGCGGGCAGGTCGTTCGACCTCGACCTCGACGACGGCCGAGGCTTGCCCTCCTCAGGGACCGTCGAGGTGCGCCGCAAGGTCGCTCTTTGACCTTGACTGTCACCGCATGTGCCTTCGGTTAGTTTAGTCGGTTTTGTCCGGGATCGGGGCGCATACGGATGGCAAGCGTCAAACGTAGTACCTCAGAGAACGACTAGGGTGACTTCCTCGCGAGGTGAAACTCGAAAGACTCTTATCTCAGATCTTTGAAATTGAAATGTAATACGGCTTATAAATAGTCGCGATTATTAATCCATCCACCAGGGAATTATGCATCCGCGAATGCAGGATTTTTTCTGTTATTTTTTAAAATTGAGACATTAATTCATATTTCGCATCGATTCGCGATGCATCTTGAGATAAAAAATTGGACGTAGAGAATTTTCGAAATTTTCCATCGCAAATATGAAGATGTATTCCTTAGGTATCACGTTTGATGCAATTCGATACCGACCATTCAACGTAGATTTTTTATATAAACTTGAAATACATTCACACTCCACTCACACGAGAAATATACTTCTAGAAAATATTCATTGTAAAGTTTTTAGAAAAAAAAAAATATTTATCTGTACGTAATTTCAAAGTAAATTATAATGATGTATAAAAATGCAATGTAACGATGAAAGAGATAAAAGTAAATGGTTACGCAATTTTTTTTGCAAGAAATAACATAACATTGTAACAGAATAAAGTAACACGTCATTGTTATCTAAAAACTTATTCGTTAAGATTAAGCGTTATTAGCAATAAATTTGAGCCACTTACTGATTTATATCCACTGGTGAGATTCTCTGATCCGGGCTGATCATAGGCCGGTTGCTGTTGTCCCACGAATTGTGCCGACGGTGATTGCTCTTATCCTTGTAGGCTTCGGCAATGTTATTGTAACTGCCGACGATTCTGCGCTTGTCGAGCTCCTTCAGCACCTTCTCTGGCATACTGCCGGCTGATCTGTACAATCCGCTGCTGAGCGTATGCTAAAAAAAAATATATGTATCTCGTAATTGAGGATATTACGGTGTATTTATATACTGTGAGGCCGAGTCTTAAATCTCTTTTCAAATATAGTAATGTAATAAATCTTTTAATCTAATGAGAATTAATCTCTCTCACATTATTATAATAACGTAACTTTCTTCATCAAGTATTATTGTTTCAGATGGACTTCGATCGTACCTTAGAGAAGGAGTACACCGGGCTGGGAGCGGCGTTCGGATTCGTCCAGACGTTGGTCGCACCAGGTACATCCTCATTGTTGTCGTTCAACAATAATTCCGCCGAATACGAGGGTCTCGCAGGTATTATGGGCGATCGGCAGCACACTCTGCAAAAACATATTGCAAAGATCCGCCAAATGCAAATCGTTAAGCATAAGAAAAAGAAACTGGAAGAATCAAGTCCGCAGTTATGAATTATAAGAGATAATTTAAACAAAGGAAATTCAAATCGAATCATATTTTAATTAACTTCATAAATGTATTTCGCATGAAACACGCGGGGTACTCCGCACGTGGAAGTTCGCCTGATTCTCTTAAGTTTCTTAAAATATAAACCGTGCGAGCCGTCACACGTACCGTGAAAGCAACCGTATGCGAGAAGCTGCGACACAGGATATTCTTAGAAGTTCGATTCGAATGTAAATTCGATGTGAAAGGCGAGGGAAAATAACATATGTAGATTTCAAATATATTTATCTCCAAGCTAATAAATACATATACGTTTCGAATATTTATCTTCCGTGACATTCGCGGTCGGGAATGTCGAGTCGTTTTGCGGACTTACGAGTTCACGTCCTCCAGTTTTCTGAGCAGCCTCTCGTTTTCCCGGCAAACGAGTTCCTGGTCCCGTATCACCTGGTCCCGCGTGGCATAGAGCTCCGCGTTCTCGCGTCGCAGCGCCTCGTTCTCGGTGATGTACGCATGGATCAACTGGCTCAGCTCCGAGCTCTCCATCTCGGCCAGTTTGTCGAGATCCACCGGCGGCGGGGTCACGGGTATCAGTCTTTCGCCTGCAAACGATCGATGAGAATAACGGGAGAAAAGAAAAATACAAGGATCGACAGTCCTTGCGAATTATTATTTTTCCGCAAAAATCGAATTCTTCGTCTTCGAAAGTACATAGCAATTGGTTTAATCGATTTATCACTATTATTTCAACACGAAATTATTAAAATATCATTATTTTGTAAATCATTCCATTTATTTGGTTTGTCAAGCTATCGAATGATTAATTCTTTCATTTTATATATTAGAGATTTGAATTTTTCTGAATTGATTGGTGCACGTAAAAATTCAACAATTTGTAAAACAAATTTCTATATTAATTTCTTTGACCCGTATTCATAAGATTACGCCAATGGCTCGAATTATTTTTCACGTTTATCGCGACATTATCGATAAAAAATGGATAACGAGATATCCTCCGAGGGATACGCGATTATAATACTTTTCGATTCGCTGCGGAGCATATTTTGAGCTTCGTTGTTGAGATGAAGAGTCATCCTTAAGTGATCGTTTTCGGTCTGAAGAGCCCCCACTTCGCGCTTCAGGCTGAGAATCAGAGCTTCGCGCGGATCCTGCAGAAGAAAAATAAGGTGTGTCAGGTATTTAAAAAATCCCTTTTAAAGCGTGCTTGTAACAAGTGATCTTACCATCACTATTATAGGCTTCGTGGCGATCTTCTTGGCTCTCGCGGCGTATCTCAAGGTGTTTAATGTCTCGCTGGCGTTCGAACGAGCTGGCGAAACGCAGGCGATCTAAACGCATGTATAATTATCGTTAAAGTAAAATTACAATTGCAAAAACTGAGGGAATTCGAATTTATTATTGGAACATTTATCGCGCAAACCGAGTGCGAATAACGCGGATTTTGTGAAAATATCGCTATATTGATCGCGAATCGATCCGATTACGAAAATCCGCTTATCAACTTACCATTAACGAGACGCCGTTTCCGGCGAGACTGTCGGCCAGAAGCTTCGTCAGTTTACTGTCCCGATAAGGGATATGGCCGCTTTTTCGTTTTCCATCGCTCAAAGAGGAAATGCAATATCCTGCGAATGATATATAAATGACATTTATTTCCGGCGAGAAAGTCGAAATTAATTAAACAGTTTCGTGAAATCACGAATGAAAAGTCTCGCTCTCGGACGATTTTGCGAAAAAACTTCCTATTGTTTTGCTTCGCGGCCGCATAATCGCGAAAGTTTATCGATTATTTTCCATAGACGGAAGGCACGTCTTTTCACATGTCAGTAACTTAATAGTCGAGCTATCGATTGCTTCAGCTATTCTAAATAATAAACGCATCGCAATTTCAAAGTCAAGATCTAATCTAATTTTCCGCTGATAAATGAATTATTATCGCTATTCATAGTGAAATGATTGTGAAGTGTGACGCGATTTCATTCAGTTTACATAGTATCGGTGAAAATGATCGAACTCCGAGGGATTTCGTATTTATAATGAATTAGTGCTGTATGTGAAAAAAATCGTTGTTCCTTCAACTTTAATATCGGAGGATACAATTAGGCTACAATTATGCTGGACTCACCTAATACCATGAGACTCTTGTTAATATTGTTCGCCTCCTCCAAAGTCTTACCCTCGCTCTGCGTTTTCTTCGTCATTTCGCTTCCAGCAAGGTCCACGAAATTAATTTTGCCTTGTTTCGAGATGAACACACCGTTCTCCATCTATCGACGCGAAAGGGGCTCGTATTATTCCTCGTTATAAATTAATTAGAATCGCGCGACGAGAAACGATGAGTACAGTAAATTGATCGGAGAAAATTAATTTTGCTTTGTTGAAAGATGAATACCGTTTATTCGGTCTACTGTTCATTCATTTTTTATATAAATAAATTTGAATGCACGGCGAGAAATGGCAGTGAAATAAATTAAAAATTTTGTTTTAATCCTCATTCAAAATCCGATATGTTATTCTGATGTTTTCGATGCTTATCTTTAAGTATATTTCTGTCTTCGTCTCAAGGGAAATATGCATCATAATCATGAAGTATCGTATTAACTTACTGCCTGCTCAGACGTTATATTTACAGTCAAAATCGAGTGGCTTCTGCTGGAATATTCGTTCATATTGTGCGTACCAATCGATCTGTTTTTCATTCCTGTAAAAACAGCGATTATATTATAAATAGCATTGTACAAATCTTCGCGAAATAGAATTTTAAAAAATTGCTAGATTAATGTCAACTTAAAAGCAAATATTAGATTTTATTATGAAGTTAGAGGATGTGGCGAGGTTGCCTATATTTTTTTGGACCTTCTTCGAGTCTTACCTTCTTCGAGAACCGCCAGAAGATCGTCCAATTCCTCACATTCTACCGTGAAGAGATTTTCGACGAAGAATCCACGCGTCTTTTTACTCCACCGAACTGCTAGGGGTTTCCTCGAAGTGCCGGGATTTAAGAGATCTATCACCTATTTATTCATTTATTTTTATATTACTGTCAATTTTGTGAACAAAATTTAGTCGCGACGACAATCGCTCGTTTCATTTTACACGCGTAAAGAAGAAGTTCGTCTTTTCTTACGGCGATTAAAAACGATGGTCATTTTATTTTATAGTTTCTATCTGGACGATATCTTATCGTTTGAAAGACAGACCTTCTCGTTATAGATTTCCAGGAAGGAAGCCTTCAGCACAAAGTTGCACTTCTCGTGTTCTTGAAGGACTTTGAATAGGTAGACGAAGGAACGGAAGACCAGACCATGGTCCTCCGAGTACGGATCCATTTTCTCGAACTGATATAAAAAATGATTAAATTTAATTTATATATAATACAGAAAGATATAATATAAAAGTGTCAGTTTAATTTCAGCATTATTTAATTTGCGTAATTTGACTCTTGATTAACTCTTAAATAAAAATTCCAATATACATATATTTTTATTTTATTAACTATATTATATTAAATTAGTTACTTGTTATATTAGCTAAGTTATATTTATTCTTAAAAAGAAGTTATTTTCGTTGAAATTTTATTGTTACAGTATTCTTTCGTCATCATTAATTAATTAAAATTTTATCTACATTGTTTTAATGAGGAATATAATTGTGATTATTGTGAAATATATATCGGCAGGATATTTCGTTTACACGATTCTCTATTTATCTTCAAAAATAGTTACTGCGTACTTATTTATCATTTAAAAATGTTGTCTTTTATTTAGACGTGACCTATCGAAATTTCAATGTTGCGTTTAGTTGCAAGGAACGACGTTACGTGTGACTTAGACGCATTATCTTATCTACGAAAGACAATCAACTTTAACCTTCCGACTAGCTATGTAGCAATCGATCGCTAACGTCACCATATGTTTTACGTATCGTATTGTCTCTTGCGTTACATGTATGTATGGACGTGTACTGCGACGCTGTTAAAAAACACTTTGCATAACTTTAACTCGTGTGATTTCTCCCGGAATATTCAAATAATATTGCTACTTCGAAAGACCCAAGAAAATGAGTAAGAGTTGAATATTTCGAACGGAATCTACATATACGTTATCACAAGAGAATTTTCGCGCATTTCAATGTTATTATTATTTGCATTCTTTGTTAAGCACAAAATAGAAAAAGAATTACGTGATTTAATCGATTAAGAAAAAAATATCCACGGTAAAATTACCCTGGATATAAATTACCCTGGTTAAAAAACGGGTCTTTTTTTTCGCTTACGAGTCTCGGAGGTCCAGTCAGGGTATGCGTTTTGCCACTTCCGGTCTGTCCGTAACAAAACACGGTGCAGCTGAAGCCTTCCACCGCCATTTCGATGAGATTTTTAATACCGGAGTACTGCAAAATATCCTCCTGCGTGGCATTTGGCTCGAAAACGACGTTGTAGGAGAATACCTTCGGTTTTTTGTCGCCACTGCTCGTAACCGCGTCGCACTGTACAAGATAAAAGATATAGGTGTTCCACTTAGCTAGACCATTTTGTAAACATTGTTATCGATGGTGTGGGGAAATGTGTGTAGGCGAGACTTCGCTTGACTTAAAAAAATCGAAGGATTCGGGCCGAAAGTAGGACACGAGAGAGAATAACAATTATTTTACGGACGATACAATTTTCGCACTTACGTATATCTGTCCATCGCCGGGAAACTGCACGGCCATTTCGTCACCGGATTTAATTTCCTTATTACTGAGCGGACGAACTCTAAGAAAAATAAAAGAGAATAGACGTCATAATAATTTTAAGTTATTTAGAGCCGACTGACGTAAGAGCGAATCAAGTTAAATACCTGACGGCGACATTTATATTGTTTTCTGGAAGTAGATGCTTGGTCGCAATTATCCGCTTATCACCGTCGATTAATCTTTCGATGCTACCGATCCTAAAAACGTAATAACATCATCTTTGCGATCTATCATTAATATATATTAATGAAACAAATTTATAAATAGCAATAACGATTAACAGATTCGAGATATGTGTATAAATGTCATTTAAGTATAGCAAAAAAGGTAAACCTTAAACTTCCTTATCTATTTGATAAATAATTATTTACCACTTGTGAAATTAAAAAAAAAAGTAGATAATATTTCATCGTTATTAAAGGTAATTATCCTTAATATAGAATACACGTCACATTGCGTACCTCATTTACTCTGCAGATAGTTAAAAATCTTCCGATAAAAGTCACTCCGTAGTTAAAGATCTCGTAGACGTTCGAGCTCTTTTATATTTGAAAAAAAAAAAAAAGAAATGTACGTAGAACGTCCTACGCGGGGCTGCGGTTATTCATCATTACGTGCATAGCTACCGCCGGTCGTTTCTATTATTAAACGGCCGACCGCCGATCTAATTCCGCAAATTAACGGCGTTCCATGAATGCGCGATCGCGAACGTCCGATACGGAAATGTCCAGTCAATCGTCCGATTGACCTCTAATCGCGCGCGCGGCCAGCCCTTATAATTCACGAGGCAGCGGCAATCGAGTCGCGGAGCGACGCTCGCGTGTTTGGCCGCGTTATCCAGACGCGATTTCTTTTCCATCCCGAAACACACCCGCGGCATTCCGAGAGACCTTCCTCAATGATTTAGGGCAACCGATGTTGGTAAATACCGGATCGCGTCCGATCGATCGGCCGTCTCAAAGCTGCGCGGCAATTCTCGAGAGGTTCTCGTTGCGGAATACAAAATACCCCGGCAAATCTTCGTACTTAGTAATGTGTTTGCGTCATTCCACGCTGAAACTACTTCCTCGAAGCGGACGAATATCAAATGGCCGGGCACGAAATGTCGCTTTGAAGATTACGGTCATGATGCGGTCTGCATTCGCGCCGCGACGAGAGAGCGCAAAGAGTACAATGACCCGCCGCCGCGCGCGAGAAAAGTAAAAATTATATCCAGATTCGAGTTACCGAAAGACTTCCGCATTCTCTTTCTCTCCCTCGCTACATTCACAGCTGGTGCAATTATGAATAATAATAATGGTGCACCTATGATATAATAATAATCAATTGTCTGAAAATATCTTCTTTGTATTACGTAAAAACTGAAACCTATTTCGATGTTTCGTGTACGATAACGCGGTGTATATTCGATTATACCCTCTTAATTTAATTGATTTGCTTTGAACGGTCTCTTTCACACACGGTGGTCTAACACGAATTCGGGGCAGCGTTCCCTCCCCGGTTACACACGCACATGCGAGTCACGTGCGGGGTAACTTGGGGTGTTTATATCGTTTTACAGTAATTGTCATATGTCGCACGTGAGTACGTTGTCGCACCCGTTGGGACCACTTTTTACGAGGAACGCGCGATGTATGGAACGCAAAAGTTCGATTCGCCAGAGAGAAAGACTCTCTGGCCGTGTCCTTGTGAGGTGTCTTCCTCGTGATAGCAATCATACGCACATACGTGGCCGATACACGGGATGGACGTACGCACTTTTACGATATACCACACTTCGATGCCGCTTATATCGATTGTGAGACCTTGCCGTACGACCTCCCGTAGTCGACATCGTAACAACAACTCCGTACATATGCACACGTGTGTAAATATCTCGATATTGACGCTGAATTAGTCCCCTTCTTTTCTTTCTCGTACAACACGTGAGTCTGCACCAAAAATACAGCGTCTCTCTCGGATCCCGAGATTTGAAAAGATGCGCGGAGAACGAAAGTTCAGATTGCAGTGCAGCGCAAGCGTTCTCAACGTTCTAATCTAACGTTTAACATAAATACGTAAATTATTTCACTTTACGTGTATACACAAATTCGCGACTGCGGATTAAATCGCGAAAATGAGCTTTCATGGTCATGGCGAAGGCAGGTGAAATTAAATGCGCAATTATTATTCAAATACAGTCGCGTGCAAATTCAAAACTGTAAAGAAAACATTACCGCGTGATAGATCGTCATTCGGTGTATGGTGGTGTTTCATTAAATATTTAATTATTATTGTATGGTTCGCGTGATATACACGTCTGTTACAGTCTATCAAAAAATCGGAAAATACATATTCGATTTTGATCTGCAATACTTTGGCACCACGGTTTATATCTCGGTTAAAAGAAATTTATCTAAATTTAAATTAAATTAATTATATGTATACGCTTGCATAATTAAATTAAAATAATTTAATGGCGTCATTATTAAATTATGATTATAATACTTACAGGTTTTGTTAAACGTTTTTTCAAAGGGGATTAATTTAAATTATAATTGAACTAAAAGATAGTTTTAATTTTTCAATACAGACTACCTATATATTCTTATTTCCATTTTATAATAAAATATTATATGTAATTTATTTGTTATTTTATAATAATATAAAATAGTATCGATCGCGCGCGGACTAACGGGAGTGAGGGAGAGACCGTAATGTTCTCGTAATCGATAAGCAATGTCGAAGCGTATGATACCGGAAGCGTGGAAATGCCCGTGCGTGTGTGAACTGTTCCTCGTATCGATGCGCGATGAAGTTTACACAAACTTCCCATGTAAAATCGAATACGCGCAGGTCGCGAACGCGCGCGAATTACTGTCTCTCTTGATGGCCGCATCGTGTGTCATCTTTGTCCCAGATCTGCCGAACGATTTCCAGCTAGGACAATCTATCCCGCCGACCAATTTTCTTGCTCGCGAAACCGCGAATCGATAGAGCAATTTCGCGGGACCGTGTAGTCTCGAGATTCAACTGTGAGCAAGCGTGAATAATGATACGCTAAATTAAAAATTATAAATAACGTTGTGATCGTTGAAGAGCGCAGGCGCAGTTTATCGCGATATTCGCAGAGATTAATATAATTTATTGCATTAAGCTATGTGTATATCAAGAAACTATATACACTTGCGTTTCTCACAACGTCATTTGTATAATTTTTTTACTTTGTAATTTTACTTTAGTACCATTTAACAAAATTTTGAACTCTTCGTATTATCTAATTTACATTTTTAAAGCCACTTTTTAAGTTTTTATTATTTTTCTAATTACAACTTTATAATAAAATTATGTAATTATATATTAATTAAATTTTTACATTACAATTCTATGCATTGACTTTATAATTTTATGCAAAGAGATATTTACGAGCACTGCAGTCGCACATATATGCTATAAAAATATTCCTAAACTCTTTTTAAGCTTAAGCGGAACACACATACTGTGTACGCTGTCGTGTTTTGTTGTCTTTACTGATCGGTTTCTCTTACGTAAGTGAAATCCTGATTGCTCGACGCGAGTAGCATTTGATCGTGAAATATTAAGCAGCTGATTAGAGCTGTCAATTTCAACTGACGTATTTTGCATAAAAAGAAACCTATGTTGATTGCCGCGCTTATTTATTAATTTCGCATCGTACCGTAATCATCATTCCGATATTATCGCGACAAATCAAAACGATAAAGCACGATAATCGAGTATTTCCATCGCGTATTTGCGCGAATGTAATATACGTCACTTCAACTTGTCACGTAGCCGATCGATTGTCGAAGCGTTTTTTCGTCGAGGTTTATCGTCTTTGCAACTATACACAAATCGTTGGTACGCTATTCCGCGCCATTGTCGAGAAAGTACACGAGAAATTTACGCGAAAAGTAAAGTTGAAATATAAATTTACCAATGTGTATGCGAAAAAATTTTTTACGTTAAATAAAATACATATTACTCTATTTTTACGAAATAATTTGCAAAATATTTTACGATAGATTTACAAAAATCTATATAGATTATTTAAATTTGTTGAAATAAACTTGATATATTAAAACATATATCTAATTTTCCGACTAAAGCTGAAAAGCGATAAAAACTTTATTTATAACTTTTTAATTTATTCATAAAGACGATGTATATAAAATAATTGTCAATTTCTAACTTTGCCCATTATCGTTAATCTTCTTTTTTCGACAGTTTCGCTGTGAATGCTTCGCCATTTCGATCGTCCATTTTTCGATTAGGCAAATTTGTTTCGCGGTAATTTTGTCGCCGGAACACAATAATGTATAGTCCTTTGAGTCTATTGTCAGACAGGAACATATGATATATTTTATTAAAGCTAACACGGACGCAATTATTATTTCTTACCATGACTTGGCGATGGTATCGCCTGTAAATTTATTGCTCGGATAAATCTTTTGATAATCAATTTCTGATATAAGGAGCTATCTACTAGATCATAACGTTGTCTTCTCCTCGAGGAAAAAATTTAAATTATTTATCTATAAGCCATTATTATTTACATACGTATACATCTCTTATAATTCGCGGTCGCGAATGTAACTTTGACAGTATTCTATTACTCGTTTATTATTGGACGTTATTTTCAAAAGCACAAACACGTGTAAATGCAGATAACTAAAGTAAATAACAGTTTATCAACGCGCGATTATAACCGAGTCACTGGGATTTCGAGACGTTGGGTGGGAATTTCGATGAGTGGTAATTTTACGAAAGGAAATGTGTGCCAGGCGGCGGAAATACCACATGCACAACTCGGGCGCAAAGCAGTCTAGATCGATTCGCGCGCGCAAACCGGCCGTTCGTTCCTCTCGACACGCGGTTGGCAGCTCAGAAATACTCACTCGTTACCCTGCGAGTGCAACAGTACACTTTTCCCCTTTCCCTTGACGGAGCCACCGCTCTTTCCTGGACTACTTCCTCGGGAACCAGTTTGCTCGCCGGGGCTGTTTCCTCGCGAGCCTCGTCCTCCACCGCTTCGTCCTTTCGACCGCGCGTTCCTCCCATTTTCTCGTTGTGGGCTCGGGCCGCGCGTCGGGGACGGATTTTTCACCAGCACCATTCGTCAACCTGCCGGATCTACATTTTCCTGGTATTAATTTATAATCAACAGGTATCAAATATAACCGTTCGGTTCGCGTTAAACGCGCGAAATGTCGCGCTCCGAAAAGCTATAATTTTACAAATACATGTAAATTATATGTAAAAGTAAATGTTAAATTTCCTTTTTTAATATAGAGCGAATGAAAAAGAATGCGTTGTGATACTTTTCAAGATTGAGATATTAGGGTAAACTGCTGTTTACCGTGAGATTTAAGATAGCGCTTTATCTCTCCTGAGATCTTTCCGGTAAACGCGTAAATTCGAAATGCGAAAATTTATGCAACCACTTGCGCATTCAATAACCAACTAATTACGGGCGGTTTCGTGCATTGCGCTCGACTTCGAATACTAACGTTTCGTTTTCGCCGGCAATGATAATTAACTGTTATCGCAATTAGAGCGAAAGCTGCCTCGAAACATACTAGAATTGATTTATGTGGAAATTAATTTTTCTGAAAAGTCAAACGTAAATAAACATAAAAAATATGAATAAAAAAGTGAATGCGTACAACAATAAGTAAATAAATAATGAATAATAAATAATAAATAAACCCAAAAGATTTGACGTAATAAATATAATAAATAAAAATGGAGTAAAAAAAATATAACAGTGCAATGAATGCAACTGTAATTAAAAAATACAATATTATATATTAATATATTAAATATATTAATTTAAGCTCTTTTTCAAGCAGAATCTTTCAATTTGATTCTGGAGTAATAAATTTTTCATAATTGAAGTCTTAAATTAAAGTCGTTCTGTTGAAGCATTGAAATCACCGGCTCTCACTGTTCCTTGCTCGAAGGATGGGAGTCACTTTTCTTCCAACACGAATGATACCACCGTTCCGGAAAAGATCGTGTTTTACCGCCTCGTTGAACGTAAAAGCAAACAAACGAGCCAGATGACTAATAAAAACAATTTGCGCGTGCTATTAAAGTCGACTTCGCGCCAAGAAAAACCGCTCGAAAAATTAATTATCGATCAAAATGACGTTCTCATCTTCTAATTGATTTACCATGCCATCGTCATCGTCTTTAATAATATTTCCACTTCGACAGAATTTATTATCTGGCGAAAACCTCACGAATCGACATACAATGTCGGTCATTAATTCGCGATAACTTGTAGGAGATCGTACTTCTCTCGCATAATGCACGGAGAAGATGTGTATTTTTAATAAATCTGTCACAAAATTATATTTTTTAAATAACTAATAATAATTACTGATTGCAATTAATATAAATTTTAATAATACGTTAGTGAATTTTAATAAACACAAATGTAAATAAAAATAACCCAGGAAAATAATATCGATCTCACAGCCGTTACAATCTCAAATCAAGAATTATTATTATCTTCCGTATGCCGTTATTATTGACTGTCCGAAAAAAGAAAGCTAAGTTCGAGCGCAACAAAACGCTCATCTCACTCTAACAGAGCACGTAAGATGCTTTCATAATTGAAAAGATTGCTTAGGCCACTTATTGAACTTAAATCCAGCGTGACGTCCTCGAGTGTATAGCCGGTGCGCGATTCGCCGACGGAAATGCACTTACATTCGCAATTTCATGTATCGTCGAGAAAATTCCTGGCACCTTTTCGAAACGCACCCTCACCCGCACACCCGCGCTTACTCCCTCCCTATACCCGCGAACGACGCGCGTGTTTTCAACTCGGTTGAAAGAAGCGCGATTTGTCTTTCCGTCGAGTTTATCGAGTCGGCGGCTCGAACACTTCGCGGGGGGTGGAGGGCACGAGAGAAAGAGAGAGAGAGTACACAAGAGAGTTTCCGCTGCGTGCAGTAGCAACAACCACCGGCGTCGTACTGACAGACGGGGGTGAGTCTTGACCCGTGGGAGGCCATCGAGGGGGGTAGTTCTCCTATAGTCGGTGTCGCGCGCGCCGATCGAATGCGACGGCCCGCTCGTCACAACAACCACCAGTTATTGCTATTACTCACCGTCACTATATACCACCGCTGCAATTCCACACGCCGCCACCCTCGACGGCCAGCCGACGACGGCACGGTCATCGTCCACGTGGACTTGGGGGTTACATCACCGCGCGCGAACTTGACATCGACGATATAATAACGGCGACGATGACGACGATGATGTCGTTCGACAGTAGACGCTTTATCGGAGGTCGAGGGTGGGAATTACCCGGTGTAACGAGTATTATATATATTTTTAAAATTATTGTAACATTCGCAAAACTCGTATAACGAGATTCTTACCTGATTTGTTACGCGGATAAAATTTTATGCATATCCATTCGTCATTCTCTTTGGGAGAGAATTCGATAACGATATTTATAGATCTCACCGGGATTAATATGCACCGAGTCGAATAGTGTACGAACGTGATCTCGGAAATTTGCCACCTGAACGGAAATTTGAAGAGCACGATGAGTGCAGAGTCTTTTGAGACTTCGCGACGTCGAATTTCCGGAGTACACACGTGATGCATCACGGAGTTGAGTGCACTCAATTACATACATGAGGGTCGCCGGTTTACATACGACAAGGGGAAATGTACCCGCGTTTCTATCCAGTTTATCGTTAGATTATTATGCCTCGAGAAGTAGCTTCTTTCTGGACTTTGCGCAACGTCAGATGACAATTCTACAATAATTTATAACTTGGCGGCATGTCGATGCTGGTAGGGTAATATACGCGTTCAATTTGCAATCGATACCATCGAGTCAATTAGACTTATACAGACGACTCGGCGAACATTAGAAAACAACATGCATTCTAGTGTTCTCAGAAGAGGATTCAGAAATTTAAAATATCTTTATTCAAAAATATTTAATATAAAATATTTAATATTTCAAATTTGGATTCTTCTAAGAAAACTGTGAAAATTTGATATAATATGACAGGGTACGGAAAAAATCAATTTGAATTCGAAAAAGCTCGAACGAAATGCGAGACATTATATATGTAATATGTATACATATTATATTTATATCGCGGAATATGAAAGTGATCAATGTGAATATTTAATTCCTGCATATCTTATGCGTTTGCATTTCTATCTTTAATATGAAAAACATATCTCGCATATCGATGGAGTTACTCTACTTATACACGTATTTCTATACTTTCCAAAAAGTACTGATCACAAAGTTATTGTATGTGTCATTTATATATCTCTTATTTGCACGTAGATAGAAAACGAGCTCAATGACGCATAGGCCGGTCTTGGGACTTGGACTTGAAGGATTTCAATTGTTAAATTAAAATAAAAAAAATAAAAAAAGCCTCCCTTACGTCAGACTCGGTTGCACGCCGTCGCGCTGCGAGAATCCGCTCCGAGAGGCCCATACGAAACCCACGGCCCCGCAGGACCCCGCAGAAGGTTCACACAGGGCACCTCGCGTGCGTCATACACTCACGCACACCAGAAAACGAATTCCTCTCTCTCCTTCTCGCCGTTAAGTCGTTCGGCCGGCTGGCAGCCGCCTGGCCTTCCTTCCTCTCTACCGCCGCCACCTTATGCCACCGGGGCACCGAAGAGGAGAGCTCTCCTTCAGACCGGCAGTTTCGTGTGTTACACCGTGGCGTGTGCACGGAACACACACCACGCGCGTATCGCGGTGAGACCGTTATCCAACGACGACGACGGTTTTCCCGCGGGTACGTCGAACCCGTTGTTGCACATCAGGGGGGGCACCGTGACTTCTTAGGGCTCCGCGAATCGTCGAATCGTGAACCGCGATTCCGTGCGCCCCCGTTCCGTTCTGATGGTGACCTGACGACGATGGATAAACACTGCCGACCGTCTGGACTCGTGAGCCACCGCTAAACCCGAGAACGAGAGTACTTGAAGCGCGGAACGAAAGTGAGTACGAGAGCACTCCTTTTCTTTCGAGCACCACGTTTTATCGCGGTTCACACAATTACGGAACAGGGGAAAAAACGAGGGATATCCGCGTACAGACACCGAGTCCCTTGCATCTTCCCGTTTTATTCTTCTTTTCTTTCATCCTGTATTTACAGATCGCTAAATTATTATTGATAATTCGTAGTGCGTTAATGACATTTTATGTTAAATTAATTTAAATCAGTGATAGTTTAATTTAATGTCTTACGTTAATTTTCGTTCTATTACATTATTCTTGCAAAACAAAGTAGGCATTTTCTAGATTTTTCACACAGATTTCTCGCTTAAAATTAAAAAAATGATCGAGAAAATTCGGTGAGAGAAGGTGGCAATACTCCGTATTGCTTGTTCGACGGCGAACGAAAATTATTGACAATAATCATCCGGTATCGAGATAGAGATTCGAGAACCTGAAAGCGCTTCGGATGAACGTCTTTTTTCCGAAAGTTTTCGCCTGACCCGCAAATGAACGTAGCAATTGCAATTTATTCCATTGACGTCTGGTGCGTGAGTCACGAGGAGGAAATCACGGCCGTGTCTCGCGCTCTTATTAAAAGAATATGGAGTATCGTTGCAGATGTTACGAACACCACGAATGCGTCTTTTGAGTGCACCGCGATCCCATGGATTCCGTGTAAAGTCATTTTCAGCAAATTGATCGAGTTGTTTACACTTTGTCCGCCGTTTGTCACCGCGTCGCTTGTTGTACATACCATCACGGATGCTGTGGAAGAGTACAATTCCATTTCTTGTAACAGTCGCGTGTCACGTCATTCAACAAGCAGACAAATTGAAATCATTTCACGATTAGCCAGATAAAATTCAGCATTAAACTGATTTTTTCTATTGATATTAAAATAAAGCTACAAATGAAGCTACAACAATAAGCACAATTTTATTTTTCTCTTATTAATAAATTAGAATTGCTTTAATCTTTGATTATAACTGACTAAACTTAATAAAAGTTTTGTCGTTGAAATACATTTTAAAAGAATTGTCATGCACTTCAATAATTACAATAATTTAATTAATTAGCGATATAATATTACGATCAATTGTGTCTAATTATTACATTGATGTTAGGATCTATTG